AAGAAGAAGAAGAAGAAGAAGAAGAAGAAGATAAAGATGATGATGAAGCTAGAGAGCTACTTCAGTCTTGTCTCCTTTTTTTTTTTTTTAATATTTACAATATTTTCAAAAGTGAAAGGTTTTCAGCTAAAGGACTATTGTACCCCAGTAACACATAGAAATATAATTACTATTTCGATTTTGGAGAGTGAGCGAAAGAAAGAACGAACTTTATTTTCAAAGGGTCACAAATTAGGCACGCAGGCCCTTTTACATTTGACTTTTCCAAACACCAGTCTTTCAAACAGCAGTTGTATTTTGTCAATGAAGGATGTTATTTTCATATAATAATATGCACATTATGAATATTAATAAAAACACAAAAGCATAGTGTGATTGAAAAAAAAGAGGATGGGGGGAGGGGGGTTGTAACAGAATTTCACCAACGTTCGAACTGTTGCGAGCAGCTTTGGTTATAAATTGGATCTGCTTTCTTTGTGCCAAATGTATTGGTTCAAATGTATCATTTGTTTGGGTCGGGTGGAGAGATGGGGGGGGGGGGGGGGGTTGCTGGGTTACCTATTGTAAATATCCTTTAAATCCTTTAAAAAAAAAAAAAACACATAGGGCAGGACTCATTTTTTATATAGACCAATCGGCAAGGGAAGATTTCATAGCACTAGGGAATTTGTGGAGATCTACGGAAATTAAAACTTATACTTAACTTAAAATTTTTACTTCCTGTGTCAAATTAGTATTGCCGTGTGGAGCACAAACATGGAGACCAACAAAGGCATTTACCAATAAACTATAAACGTATGCCTCTGCAGAATAGAGGTATTTAACTGGTAAGATAGAATCACCAATATATTTGACATGGTATATCTAATACTCGGGTACACTGTGTCAGTGCCCGTTAATTTGACATGGCATATCTTATACTCAGGTACACTGTGACAGTGATCGTTAATTTAACATGATATATCTTATACTCAGGTACACTGTGTCAGTGCCCGTTAATTTGACATGGCATATCTTATACTCAGGTACACTGTGACAGTGATCGTTAATTTAACATGATATATCTTATACTCAGGTACACTGTGTCAGTGCCCGTTAATTTGACATGGCATATCTTATACTCAGGTACACTGTGACAGTGCCCGTTAAATTGACATGGCATATCTTATACTCAGGTACACTGTGACAGTGCCCGTTAATTTGACATGACATATCTTATACTCAGGTACACTGTGAGAGTACCCGTCAATTTGACATAGTATATCTTATACTCAGGTACACTGTGAGAGTGCCCGTCAATTTGACATAGTATATCTTATACTCAGGTACACTGTAACAGTGATCGTTAATTTGACATGATATATCTTATACATAGGTACACTGTGACAGTGCCCGTTAATTTGACATGGTATATCTTATACTCAGGTACAGTGTGAAACTGCCCGTTAATTTAACATGGTATATCTTTTACTCAGGTACACTGTAACAGTGCCCGTCAATTTGACACACGAAAATGGAACCTACTGGGTGGGGATTAAGTTCAAAAGTAAGTATTTCGCTTTGTGAAAATAGTTCACCTGATCACTCCTAGTTAGTAGAATGCGACACGGTTCAATTGTAAATGCAGCTGTGTATTTAGTACTTTAATAATATCCTACCTCTAATATTTCAGAGAATGTTAGGCTGCATGCAGTCGTGGGTCCTAGGCTGCACTCTCTCGTGGGACGTAGGCGGGTTTGGGTTAGTGCCATTTCTAGATGTTTTTGGGTCGTTAAAAGCATCAGAAAGCCGGGAAACCCAGTCTTACCACCCTCTAAAATGTTGGACTGTCCTGTGACGTCATTGTGGTAAGGTATTAATAAAGAACCATGCATTTTCTTGCAAAATTGAAATCACAATGTTGTTTTAACCACCATTAGGTGGTTGATCTACCAATATTATTTCCCTTGATTCTTTATGTAAATGTTCATATGTTTTTTTTTTCTTAAACAGGGCTGTGAAATGTCAAAACCAATGGCATAACTGATATAGGTCTTTCTTCAGTAACACTTACTGGATCCAGCGTATAATGCCAGCACATAAAATATTGATGCAACCCACTATGACAAGTACAAATGCACTCAATTTCCCAGCTATCTTACCACACCCTCCTCCCTTTTGAAACCTCCTCAGCGCACCCCCCACCCCCACCCCACCCCGCACCCTTTCCAGGTTGGAGACCACTGACATAGTCCAACAGCTTTAGGAAAAATGTAATATGGACTTCACTTACTAAAGTTGTAAATTTAACGTTTACATCAAGTCAGTTTTTAACTCAGCTTTGTGGGTCCTCTTGGCATTGTGGGCAAGCTATTTGCCTCGCAGGTCATGGGTTCGTTTCACGGCTGCGTCTTTCAGTTCACGCATGCAGTTATTAATAAGATCCATGGGGGTTGTGGATTGAACAACAGAGTTCACGCTTTATGCGACGCTCTCTGCAGGCGGCTAGCCGTTCTGCGGAGAAAGGTCAAGCCACATAGGATAAAACCCAGTGCAAAAAAATTTGAGTCTCTCAACTTTAACTTTTGACTGATCAGTTATTTCAAAGTAGACCCAGTCTGGGAAAGAGAATTAATGAAAAAGTAAACGTTTTTTCTCAGGCGGAAATATGGAGGTCGGCGCCAATACTGCCAACACCAGCTACACGTTGCTGATCCTTGTGTCCGGCTGTCGTTACTGGGATGAAGACAACAACACATGGTCATCTGAAGGATGTCGGGTAAAATCAACGCTCACAAATTATTCGTTATTATTACCTCCTTTTCTGCATTCCCTCTTGAAAAGGCGGCTGTTACGTTGCGTTGTAGTTTACAGACAGACTTTAATATCTGCGTCTTTAAGCTCAATAGTCCTTATTCAGAGGCTGACTGAGCGGTTTTAACGTCGGGCTCTCGGGCGGGAGACCCGAGTTCGACCCCTTGTAAGGTTGTAAGGTGATGGTTTTTTTCGATCGGGGGCAAAAATTAAACATCCTAATCTGCACAGTCTGTGGCGACAGCACTAGCCAGGCGGCCCTAAATCTAAGGCTCAAGGCCGCCTGTCTACATCGTTTAAAAAGTGTTAAGACAGACAGTAGTCACAGTTTTAGTGACAGTTAATCCGAATTCGGCAAATCCGGAATTGCATTATCATTGATATAGACTGTAGGATATAGTTCTGTCGCCAGGTAATGAGCTGAGTGCATGGCGCGACACTGTAAGCTGCGGATTTCCTTTCGAATGCGTTTTAGCTGTGCCCAACGTAGTGTTTGTTGTGAACTGCTTCGAAAAAAACGAGTAGCCTGTTGCCAAAAAGCTTGTGGTGACTTATGCGATTAATTGCGTATGCAACCGCATATATAATGTCGGAATGTCTGTGTTAGCACTTCTGGCTGCTGCATAATGCATTTAATGCGTGTGTATGCTGTTGGGTATGCTCAGACTGCAGTCTGTGTCATTCCCCTTTTACATGGGTAAGTGGTTGACATTCTGTGTGGATTTTGTTGTCACAGGAACGAAGCAACTAAGGTGTGACCCTTCTGCTAGAAAGCTGGAACTAAGATTACCTTACTTTTCTAATATTGTGATTTGTGACCCTCACAGTCCTTTCTTTACATAGCTAAAGCCGCATGGCGTTGGTAGTTATATCTGCCCATAGCTGAATGCCTCGCGTACTGTCAGTCGTCGCCAGTACTGACGTTCTTCCTTGACACTATGCCAGGTGCTTTACCATGGGATCTGGCCAATGCTAAACATTCAAGCCAAAGGCGAGACGGCTGTACAATCAGACAGTTACTGGTACCATCGAAGCTGTAACTCTTCGCATACTGCTGAAGGATATTTTCCTGAAAAAGTTAAAAGCGTGCCAACTCCGTCACTGCCGGTCCCATGCCTGGGTTGAAAAGGAGGAAGGTTAAGTGTGGGCAAAGCTACCCACTGTGTAAAAACAATATGTTTTAAATATTTGCAGCATATGAACCCACTTGGAAATGCTGGTGTGCGGTGTACGGAGTGCACGTATGGTGGTTATTGGTGAATCTGAAATAACAGCACACAACAAAACGTCAGGAAATAGTGAACTGAAACCCCTATACGACCTATAACTGCTAGCATCATGATGATGATGAATTCAGATTTTCATTTAACCTAGACTTAACCACCCGAGACAAAGCTAATAATTTTATCAGACAGATTGTAAGAACATCACACTGCAGCAAATTCATTAAGATCAAATGGTTTAGTCATTTAGTAAGAATGTAGCCAGAACAATTACCAACGCAGGCGATACACATGAAAAGATCTAAAGTGAAATCAAGAGGCTGCACTGACAGAACATGGACTGATGACATTAAAGAGCGTCTACATTGTCACGGAATGATGATAGCCATTTCTGCTCATCAAACAATGCATCGCAAACTGTTCCTCCCCACAATGCCTAACGGCAGAAGTATAAACTGATAATGTTGATGATGATGATGTTGTAGTTTTGACTCTTTCATATTTATGGCATTGTGGTGCTGGGGTGTCTGTGGATTACTTTCCTCCCCAGGCAGCAGCCAGAAATGCCCTGTACCAGTTCTAAAGAAAATATGGGTTGTGTTTCTGCCTTCCCCTTTGACAAGTAGCTAAGGTGGGGCTCACAGTGTGCTCATTCCCCGCCACCAGATTGCCTGCAGGTTTCGCTGAGCTCTTCATGGCTCTAAGCATTAGTAGTTGGGGCAACTGGATCGTCACGTCCAGAGTCCCTGTGCCTTCACGATAGTTGCCGGTATTCAGGGGTTAGCATAATTGTTTCCACTCTTAAGACTGTTCAGCACCCCTTCGGCGCCTTCTCTCAGTACGGTGTGATGGGGGCAGTACGGTGTGATGCACCGGGTTTTTTTTTTTAAATCGAGGTTTGCTCCTCTAGATCCATTATGTTTTGCCTGGATATTCGCAACCCCAGTTACCAGGACTACCTCGGGAAGGATGTGGCGTTGATGATGATGATTTCACCGCATGATCTATACCCAGGTCGGTCCCCTCACCACGAAGTACAGGACTCAGTGTTTCTGTGACCACCTGACCTCATTTGGAGCTGACGCTGTTGTGGCTCCAAACACCATCGATTTCACCAACGTTTGGGCCAAGTTCAACCGTCTCGGGGAAAACGCTGCAGTCTTCTCGACCGTCATCACCCTGCTGGGGCTTTACGTCATTTTACTCATCGTCTTGCGGCACATGGACAAGAAAGATTTGATCAAAGTAAGACAATTATTAGGTAAACGTATTTTTCGTTCTTTGGTTTTCCTGTGTTCTCTTTTTCTCTAAGGTGAGATGATCGGCTTCATTGCACCGGGTTTTATCCCATACGGCGTAGTCTCTCTGGGCAGAACAGCTAGCTGCCTGTCGAGAGCGTCGCACATAGCACGACCTCTGTAGCTCTGACGACGATCCCCACGGATAGCCGTAAACATTGCCCTCATGAACTGAACGGCGCCACTGTCCGACGAACCCCCGACCTTCAGAACACGGGGCAAATGTCTTGGCTACCTCGCTACAAAGATCCCCAAACCTGTCCTTTACCGCACAAACAAACTCGCACTAAGCCGCCCTATCCGTTGCAATCGCATGCTCCTCACCCTATTGTCTCCTCCACACCACCCATTGAAACCGCCAACCTATATAACTTAATTTTATAGTGACCCCTTTTCTGGTGTGTGCCTGTGTGCGCCAGCCTGTCTGCATTTATTTTTCTTTAGCCTCGTGGGGTCCAGCGTAAAGCCGTTCTTATCATATTGTGATCGAGTTTTATCACCGTGCGTCCTATCCAATGCCTGCTTCTTATCCTCATCTCTTGATATTGCATTTAGGTCTCTCATAAAGCACTACATTCGTGATTACTGCATACAGTTTGTGGTGAATTAATTTTTTTTTTAAATTCATTTTTAATTTTCGGTTTATTGGGATGGGGCTTTTGATTACTATACTGCCAGGCGAATTCATCTGGTCAACGCCTTCGTTTGTTTTTGTTAATTTTTATTTGTAGTGACTCTCTAACTAGCTTGAAATTCTCTCTTCAGAGTAGTTCCTTCCTTGCTACTGGGCTGTCTTGTTTCTTTTCCTTCTTTTGTTCTTTATCTATCACTGGAGCATTGTCAGCAACTAATTCACGACATAATATTGTATCTGTTGCTTTCTTAATTAAGTGATGAAGTAAAGAGGAGAGACTGCAGTAGAACTTATATCGAGAAGAACTAAATAAAACACGTACTGTGACTAGAAACTTCAAAAGAGGAAGCGTAAAAGACGCCCACAAATACAAACCGAATCTCTCGACCACATTCTTCATCAACGGAACACTAACTAAAAAGAACTGTGACTAAAGAACTCGGCGGATTTATATATATATATATATTATGTGTGTGTGTGTGTGTGTGTGTGTGTGTGTGTGTGTGTGTGTGTGTGTGTGTGTGTTTTGAATTTTTTGCAGATGGTGGCATAATTAACATTACAAGACTTATCATAAATAAATGATTCTCTAATCTGAATCTGAGGAAAAGGCGGAAATTTAAAAAAAAAAAGAATTGCTGATCAAATTTATACATTGGTCAGGTTCATCTCTGAACATTTCGATGATGCCCAGGCTGCAATCTGTGAACCTTCTAGACAAATCAAAAAAGCTTATCACAGTAAGGTTGTCGAATTTCTGTAGCTTGGACCTGATCACTCGCCCGGAATAGCACATTCCTTTGTAAAGCCACCGTTCCACATGTCCAAGTTGTAATTTAGGCAAATCGTATATGTACGTATTTCCCCAAGATCTACAAACCTAACAACTCCGGCCTCCCTATGATGTTCTCCTGTTCATGTGATACAGTATACATTTCGGAAGTCATTGATAGTGTCTCTCATGAAATTACCATAAGATTTATTTTATTCGTTGAAGATACCACCCACGACTTTACCGTCTTTACTCCCAAAGAAAGTGATTTTACCCCCAGGCCACAAACCCCCTTCTCCCCCTAAAGAGTCACAGGAACTTACAATGGAAAGAGTCAGTTCTATTCATGATATTGCTTCACTGCTCCCCCCCCCCCCCCCCACAACCTTCCAGCCATATTTTTAAAGAATACTATTCATGATTCCACTCCTCCCCTGTGTGGGTTCCGGGTCCCCATTGTGGGGAAAACAAGAATAGACCCACTGCCTCCCCCAAAGCATGTCGTAAGAGTCGACTAATTAGGGAGCTTCCTTTGAAGTCGGAGTGCATCTGCCAGAGAGGCAAGGAACCAACAGTCTGTATTCAAGAGAATGAGATCTGTAAAACTGATGCACACGCAACACTCAGGTTCTGGAGCAGGACTGCAGTTCAGTAGTGGACAAGCAACCAGAACTTTCCGCCAGAGTGTACAGCTGGTGAACGCGAAGAAGAAGAAGATTCCACTTCTTTCGTCTATGATGCTCATGTTTGAGCCCAAATGCATATCTTCTAATCACATTTTCAACAGACATTACTTGACTCATTCTTATGGTTTCACGATCATCACATAAACTTAATAGACCAAACTAAAGATTAGCAAATTCACAAGTTCACATTCCAAACACTATAATCAAACACATTTGAAACCGTAACAAGCACATCTGAAATTGTAACCTACAGTGGGGCGCCCTGCCACTAGAGGACAACCTACCCACGGATAGCTACCATTACCTGGTTACCGTACAGACAGGCATCAAGAAGGGATCTGGCACCGACTCTCGGATCAGGTTCATTGTATCTGGAGAGGATGGGGATTCTGGCGTCAGAAAGCTGATAGATGTTGATAATAAGAGGAAGGTGAGACTCGCTCATGATATGTTAGACACAATCATTCCATTACATTCTTGTGTAAATTCTTTGTTCTTTGATATTAACACTGGAACATAATGACTCAAAAAATTCGCGCCGAGGCCTTTATATACACCCCTGGGCAGTTTTAAATAAAAACCAATACGGTTGTCAATTTCACAGCATGTTTGATTGATTTCAGCGTTAAAAAAAAGTAATCTTCCTACATGGGTCCTGGGCGATTTCATCAAATGCATTCAGTGCGGTGGTTTATATCCTGAGTCCCCTCTCTCATGTATTGTTAAACTCGTAAAATCTGTCATAGCGGTGGCGGCGGGGGAGGGGGTTGTATCTGGGCTTGCAAAGTGTCTTATACAACAATATTGCATGTGTCAACATGCTAGTCGTGACTGACTTCTTCGACAAACTGAAATTCTAGTGGCGACTGTTGCCGCTGTCGTGTGAATTTCATGCGTGTGCATTTCAGGATATGTGTGTGTATATGTGTATATGTATGTGTGCGTGCGTGTGTTTGTTTTAAACAGGACAGTAGAGAACACAGTGTGGGACTTTTCACTGGCACATAAATGTATCAATATTTGAGACACCCTTTTACAATGCAAATGAAAGCTAAGCTAAAGTTTACTTCTGTCTCTGTCTGTCTGTCTGTCTGTCTGTCTGTCTGTCTGTCTGTCTGTCTGTCTGTCTGTCTGTCTGTCTGTCTGTCTGTCTGTCTGTCTGTCTGTCTGTCTGTCTGTCTGTCTGTCTGTCTGTCTGTCTGTCTGTCTGTCTGTCTGTCTGTCTGTCTGTCTGTCTGTCTGTCTGTCTGTTCGTCTGTCTGTTCGTCTGTCTGTCTGTCTCTCTCTCTCTCTCTCTCTCTCTCTCTCTCTCTCTCTCTCCCTCTCTCCCCGATGGCTTTCTCTACCCGTTTACCCCTTTCAGTCTCTTCAGTCTTTCTATCGTTACTTGTGAGTTCCAGTGTTTTATTGTTTGTGTGTGTGTGGGGGGAGGGGGAGGGGAATAAACCCGCTGCTTCTCTAACAACACGTCGTATGAGTCTACCAATTAGGGGTTTTATTTGAAGTTGGAGTTTATCAGCCTGAGAGGCAAAGAACCAACAGTCTGTGTACAAACAAACCATATCTAATACAGATGTGCTAGCAAAGCCTAAGTTCTGGAATAAGACTAATGTCAAGAAGTGGGTAAACATCCAAAACTTTCCACCAGAGTTAACAGTTGGTAAACGCGAAGAATAACAAGTATTTTTATCTGATTTATTTCTTGCATGTAAGCTGGTTTGTGTGTGCACGCGCGCGCGCGTGTGTGTGTATGTGTGAGTGAGTGCAAAGAAGTGGGTGTATGCAGATGTCTATCTGTTTGTGTGAGTGTGTGTGCTTCAATTTACGTAATAGTGTATGCCTTTGTGCAATTATGTGTGTACGAATTCATCTAGAAAGCAGTAATATAGTTATAGTGTGTTTAATGAATCATTTTCTCATTGTTAATTAATGTTTTCACATTTGTAAATGAGGTTACATACTAAATTAAATACTAAGCATAATGTATGTGCTTGAATTTGGTTGAATGGTATTGAGTACGAAGTATAATGTATGCATGAACGGATTGAGTAATGAAAAACTCGAGGCAAAATTGGAATTTGGCTGAAGCCTGCCAGAGTAGAAAAGTATGAATCATGTGTGTAATGTTCAAGAACCCGAAAGGCAAATAGGCTTTTTAAACATGGAACAAATGAGAAGATTTAGTTTTGTTTTCGATGTAGAGAAAGCCAGGACGTATGGCGCTTTAGTGAAATTTCAGAGTAAGTAGATCATGCAGCCGACCTAGGCAGAAAGACTTGAGCCTCTTGAGAGTTCCGTACAAATGGCTGAGTTGGTGCCTGCTGTGAGCTGATGTTTCTGCTCAAGTATACGTTTGGTATCTTTTGAAGTGTCTACGGATGGAAGTGCTGTGTTTGGTCATCATTTAAAGGCAATGCTAATAGTGTTAATGCTTTTGCATATGGCCAGTCTAGTTAGTTAGTTGGTCGACAGATTAGTCTCATTGCTAGTTGAACCACTCAGTCCACATATGCTTGGACACCCTCCTCAGTAAATCCCGCAGCGTGTAGCGGATGACGACACCAGTTATGTGTTGTTGTATTATTCTTCTTCGGCTACCTGCGTAGTGTTCTTGTTTGGCGTCACCCCGTTTAACTTGCTGTTCTTGCACTCTGACCATGGTTGCAGACTCTAAGTTCTCAGTTGGTTCACGCAAGCGTCCTAACTCTCTTAAAGCATTCAGTATATCAGCCTGGTCCATGGCTTGTCCGGCTTTTATAGTAGCCTTACCTACAAGTTTGTCAGCTTGCTAATTTCCTTGTACCCCCAAATGTCCTGGCACGCAAACCAAACTAATCCTTGTAAGCTAATAATTCTGTAGAACCATCAACCACTGCCTTTAGACACAGTTCTTCTCTATCTTCTTGAGCATCCTCATCAAGTAACTGAGAAAATAGACAATATGTTCAACCCTAGACGTTTATACCTTTGGTGCAATTTATAGTGGCGAACAGTTGCTGGAATCAATAAATATTTCATAGCAGCCTTTCTTAGCAACTATTTCTTAATAATGTTTAAGACTATGCTGAACTTTCTGTCAGTGTGCCCGACCAGGCTGGGGGCGACTAGAGCCCGAAAGCTGCCGTGGCGTGCGGGCGTGCTATAGACCATGCTAATATACTAAACGCTCTACGAGAAGTGAGAAGTTTGCGAGAACCAAGTGAGGACTGTGAATCTGCAACTATAACCATACTGCAAAAACAGTTGTTAAAAGCACTATGGTCAGACAAAGCACGATGCAGGAAGCCAAAGGGGAGTGAGAAACCAACAAAGCACTGGTGTCATCAGCCACTACACGCAGGATTTACTGAGGAGGGGAATAAGAGCACTTATCGACTGAATAGTTTGATATGCAGTGAGGGTAATCTGTCTACTAACTAACTAACCTATTAACTAACTCTTGTATCCAAACAGCACTTACCAAGAGGCTCCATTTTCAACTACGTGATGAGTGTGGATGGCTGCCTAGGACCCTTGACCTTCCTGCGCATCTGGCACGACAACAGCGGCAAGGGCCAGAACAAATCTTGGTATCTTGACAATGTACAGATCAATGACCTGCAGACAGGAGAGAAGTCAGTGTCACTTATTGTTGCCCCACCCTCCTTAATTCTCATCTTCGTTAATTCTTAATCGGTATGTGTCGTATTGTGGCTATTAATCATCGGCATTTCATAAAAACCAGAAATTCAAGTGAAGACCCAGAACTCTGTAATTCAGAGGTGGGCAGACTATGGCACTGGCGAGCAATTGTTTGGCCTGCGCAGCTGGTGTACAGTCACTATTCAATGTAGCCGTAAATAGCAGAAGACAAAAATATGCGTTCGTATGATTTTGCGGGATGTTCCTCGCGTTCACTACGAATGTTCATGTAATTTATCTACTCCTAGACTTTGGTGATGTTCCAGAAAATGAGTTTTGCTTGTACATCAGTTTTAAAGATCTAGACTTAAAGGGTTTTTGTTTTGTTTTCTTGCATGTTGGTTTATCGCCTCTCAGGCAGACACACACTGACTTCGAAAGAATGCTGGATGTTCAAACACAATCCTCTCATTAAATCTCTAAGCTACTTTTGTAAAATTTATTTATCATATCTGTCTGTCTCTTACTCTAATTCTCACTCTCTCAATGCACACTGTCACTCATTAATTATATCTATGAACAACTAGTTTGAACAGACACCTTTAGGAATATGCAGAGGGGCTTCATTAGGTGAGTGTAGATTATAATCCATTGCCCATCACTGGTATAATTTAATTCAAACTACGAGGGGGTTTGATACGAAACCATTAAAAGTGTGTAGACATTACAATCATCATTAACATCATTAACAACTTCTGCCGTTAGGCAGACTTATTTCTGGACATTATGTAACAAAACAAAAAAAAACGTACAATAGAATACGCAAACAAACAAAAAATTAATAAATAGTGGCCTGTACCAAGAGGTGAGAATATATGGTGTAAAAAGTGGATTTGGGGAATAATTTGCGATCCAGTGAACACTGTCTAATACTGGCTATTGTCATACCGTAAAGGCGTAATGTGTCTTTAATGTTGTCTATTCATATTTCCGCCACCGTCCTCTTGCTCGTTTAGCTGATCTTCTGAGATGTAGTGCTTGTGATGGTATTTGATCTTGCTGCATCATTCTAACGTGATGGCCAGACCACATGATCTGCTGTTTCTCTGTGAATCTAGTACATGGTGTCGTACCCACAATCTCTCAATGTCTTGTAGCCTGTAGCCTTCCCATATTCTTGTTAAGGATGATGTGAGTGCTAAGCCCGTGACATAAAGGTAAGGCGAACATGTAACTTTAGGATTGTTTAAAGTGGAGCAGAGTCCTGTTATCCGTTGCGTTCATTTTTTTCCTAATCGCATGATCAATTAGTGGCGCTCTTGCTAGTTATTGCCATACCACGGGTTTCTAATAATAACAATGATAATAATAATAATAATAATAATAATAACAACAGTAGTACAACAAGGAACCAAACGTCTCATTCCATGCAATCAGGCGTATTAGGTGTTTGATGCTAGCCGAATACTTTCACAAACCAACTGGCACTCGATGACAGCTTTTACTTCCCCGAATATACCCAGCTTCATTTCAGATCTAAACATCGTCATAAAAATCTACATGGCTTTCCACAGGTTTACATTCTTATGTGACCGCTGGTTGGCCGTCGAGATGGATGACGGGTCGGTGGACCGAATCCTTCCTGTGGCAGGTATCGATGACTTGATTGCATTCAAACAACTCTTCACATCCTCGGCCAGGAAGAAGCTCAGCAATGATCATTTGTGGATTTCCCTGTTCTCCCGGCCAGCTCGGAGTAACTTCACCAGAGTGAGTTGACTCCAGAACTTCTAACACGTTATAATGGCACAGAGTGTAACTAAATTCAATTGTATGAACGGTACTTTACCAGCCAGAACGCACACACATACAGACACACACACACACACACACACACACACACACATATATATATATATATATATATATATATATATATATATATATATATATATATATATATATATATAAATGTAGACAATGAACGAGCTTAGAGAAAAGAAAGTTGGTTAAAGCGGTTGGGAGGGTGGAGTTTGAGCGAGAGACAGATTGTTGATTACAACTTGAAGATATCACCATGTTTAGATATTTTACTCCTACTTGCTGTTCTATTTATCGCTCGTTCAGAGACGCTCCTTCTAGCACGCCCTTTATGGTAAAACCGGATTGTCTTGCTGCAAGTGCCATTTCTACATAGTTTTAAGAGAAAGTACTGCTAGATATCTCTTCTACTTACTGCAGGTACATATACTGTTCTACTACATACCTATTGTATCTATCCCAGGTACAGAGACTGTTCTGCTACATACCCATTGTATTTATCCCAGGTACAGAGGCTGTTCTACTACATACCCATTGTATTTATCCCAGGTACAGAGGCTGTTCTGCTACATACCCATTGTATTTATCCCAGGTACAGAGACTGTTCTGCTACATACCCATTGTATCTATCCCAGGTACAGAGACTGTTCTACTACATACCCATTGTATTTATCCCAGGTACAGAGGCTGTTCTGCTACATACCCATTGTATTTATCCCAGGTACAGAGACTGTCCTGTTGCATGTCCTTGCTGTTCCTGACAATGATCACCAACGCCATGTGGTTCAGACAGGACAGTACCGACACTGGTCAAGTGGAAGTCATTAACGTGGGGCCCTTTTCTTTCACACTTGCACAGGTAATTTAGATAAGAAAGCAGGTTAGTGAACTAAAAGAGCACCTAATTTTAAATTATATTCTTTTAAACCAGGCCTTACTGAAAAAATTTGTTAGTCCTTTTCCTGGCCCATCTGTACATTGCCTAACCTATCATTCATACTTTTTCAGACTGTTCTATCAGAGGGGTGTCATGTTGTCTTGCCTCCATCTACATAAGCGCCGATGTTAACTGTTCTATATTACACGTTGATACAGCTTTCAACGACACAAGGACATCTAGAACTGGCCCTAACCCAAACAGCCACAGCCTGACCCACACTAGAGAATCTGTTTGAAGAAAGCAGTACAACTTGACACCCCTCTGACCTAAATCAGACTGAGAAAGTGTTTAGATGGACCGGTAAACGTGAACATGGTCCCGTTTTGATACTGCTTCTTGATACTTTATCAAACTGGTGTCTTGTGTCCTTCGTTTTTTTTCTTTTCAATTAAAGAGTACGAAATGGGTGATAAACGGGGGAAGGGGGGGGGGGAGTGGAGGGGGGGGGGGGGGAGAGGCCGGGGGTTGTAGTGTCTAGGGAGGAGAAAATACGCACCCTAAAGCGACTTATAACGGCAAATACCGCTGCTTCGGAGGCAGGAGTCAGGGAAACTTACAGTAGGAGTCTGGAAGACAAACTGAGCAAAATTCAAAAAGTAGTGTTACCCAATCTACTGGAGGTTTGGGGCCGGGGGGGGGGGGGGGGGGGTAAAAAAGTATGGTGAAAGATAAGCATAAAGAAGCTCAGGAATATTTATCCTTGTGTCATGATGGTGAAAGGTAAGCATAAAAAAGTTCAGGAAAATTTATCTTTGCGTCATGATGGTGAAAGGTAGGCATGAAAAAGTTCAAGAAGATTTATCTTTGTGTCATGAGAAAAATGCCATTGCAATTGACGCGACATAAGGGAAGGAGACGATTCAGAATTTACTGCTAGTGATGGCAGGTTAGATCTGTAGAAAAAAGACCTTTTTCTGGACATTGTGTAACAAATGGTTAAAACGTACAATAGAATACGCAAAAAAAAAAAAAAAAAACAATAATAAGTATTGGCCTGTACCGAGAGGTGAGAAAATATGGGGTAAAAATTGGTTTTGGTGATGAAAAGTCTGTATTTGAAGATATAGAGGGGTAGAAACCGAGTACTCACAGTATTCCTACATTTCCGGCTTTTTTTTTTTTTTTTATCTAGACCACCCTTCTGCCACATTAGGCCAAATATTGCAGAAACTGCTGCATTTATGTTTCCATTTAAATTATCGTTGTTTTAACTCCTTTTATTTGATTTTCAGCTCTTCATAAGCGTAGCATCAACAGTGATCGTATTCCCACCCAACTTTCTCATGATTACATTTTTTCGGAGGTGCCGACCTAAGGGTAACGCCACCGCACAAATCAACCAATCAGAGGTCAAGGACAAGCAAAAGTTCCGTTGGAAGAACGTCACAACGACGTCCCTAGTCTGGGCTCCCAGGGTCAAGAAAAGCAGGCAAGTTTACGTCGGATGTCGTCAGTTTCATAGGTACTTTTAATTTAGTTCACTCTACATTAGGGATCTGAGAGTTCCCGGGGAAGGTCCAGTATTATAGAGGTGTGAAGGGTAGGATTAGGGATAGTGTTAGTCGGTGGTCATTTAACACCGCAACACCCCTATTATACTTGACTTTCCCCGGAGATTCTCGGATTCCCTGAGATGGGGTGAAAGAAATTAAAAGGACCGTTTCATGTGCAGGATGACTGAAAAGTAACTCTCTGCTTTAAAATACTTATAAATTATTTATTTAATGTTAAATTTGTCCCATATTGTTCCTGTTCCATCTTTAGTGTACGAGAGTGTCATCTGTTCCTTTAATATAATATGTTTAAATCTGGGTTTCAGAGGGATTTTTTTTTTTTTTCATGAAATTTTTGAAATGCTAGGAGCATGGCTGGAGCGTTCCCTGCTAGCGGCAGGTTATGATGATAGAAATCCGTTGTTACAGTGCCAAGATGATGTAGAACTATTAGAGGGGTAACAGCCCGAGATGAGTTAACAGAAATCAAGAATTTATTATAACTCATGGTAAAACTAACGTTCGTCTCCCCATTTACACAGTGTTACACACTAGCTCACTTCTGAGTGGTCGACATTTAGCCTAGCTCACTTCTGATTTGTCGACCTTGAGCCACGTTACCTTGCGACAAGGTTACTATGGTTTCCGCAATGCCGTTCATATTGCGTGTTGTATATTTCAGCCTGCCAGCGCTTTTAACATTCCAAAAACATCGACAAATTGGATCTAACACAAAACCTCTTTTAAAATTTATGAAACCTATGTCACAGGCATTCTCTTTCTTGGAATGAAAACGTAAATGCAAGGCAACCCAGAAAGCAAACAACGGAGCGGCACACCCGTAACCTGCTGGAAGGTAGACCAGCTCAACAAACTTATCAATGAAACGTGACACTCTTCGTTTAGGGAGACCTTCGTTCGTATCACCTAACTCATTATAGTACACACTCATTAATACATAAAATATACGTATACAGAAAAAAATGTTACTTTTTAGTCATCCTGTAGCTTTTATTAGTACAGTTTTATTGCAAATGGTATCAATGCTGTATGATGCTGACATTCATGTTCCAAGTACATATAAACAGGCTTGGAACCAATGAGGGTGTGGAGTTCAGAGACAATGGCAAACTGTTGTCATAAAGGGCAGACAACTCGTTATACCCAGTACGTGTCAAGGATGATGATTTACAAGAACGATAACAGGTAGCCTACCACAGAAGCTCTCGAGGTTATAAAGTAAGTTATACAGCCAGGGCCGTGCGAGATGTTTTTGTCAGTATAATGCAAGCATTAAAAATGCGGCCGCTAAAACACAAAATGATGCCCTTTGCACAACAAGGTGCCACTTCTCGAGTCAACCTAACATTAAAATCCAATATTGTCACTAATTGTAGCTCAAAGGATTGAGGTTTGAGGTTTGAACAAAGGATCAATATCATGGCACACGAGCAGTAACCCATAAGTGCTTAGTTCTTCTAACTCAGGTTTGAGTCCAATGAAGCTCAGCACAGTGCCCAAGCTCTGTAGCACCGGTGAGGATCCTAAAATAATTGGGTACATTTTAATTTTTAACTCCATATTTTCCCGTGCAGAGCCTGTGCACTGTGCTCAGCTTTTACGGACTCGGACTTGAGTTAGAAGAAGAACAGAGCACTTATGGGTTACCCCCGTGTACTGTGATGTTGATCATTTTTTCAAAACGCATAAATATACTGACATTGATCTGAAATAAATTTTGTTTTATAATAATGCGTGTCCTCAAGTTTTCAAAACATTGATTTATTTACAGTCAGGCATCAGGAAAAATTCCGTAACTAAATGTTTACTTCTATCTGCAGGTTTCGAAAGATGAAAGAAAGCATCCATAAAATCATTAGCTTCCACAAAAGAAACCTGTACGTAGACAAAGTCTTGAATAACGACAGTTGTGACGATGAAACAGATATCGCCAAGGCAAAATCGAAACAACCATGGTCACTTCCGTTTTGGTGTATTTATATTGCTTGGACTTGTAAGTTACCTCCCCCTGACTAAATCTTAATGTGTTACAATAATGTTCTAAATCTATACACTTAACTATTAAACACTCAAAATCTCTGCAAGGTCCATGTTTATCCACAAGCTTCTGTCTCTTGCACTTTTAATGATCTCTGACGCAGATGAACTGTCACGCCACGTGGGCAAACTGTTCAGCATCTTTTCTCTCGGTCTCCCTCTGCCTCTCCTCCCGTCAAACTTTCCTACTGTCACGATGTAATCCAGTTTTCTACTTTTCATTACATGACCAAAGATGTAAATTTTTTTTCCTTTTTTCTTTCTGAATAGGCAATTTGTTTTAAAAACTTGTGGGTTAAAAACTCATGGTTTCTTGATATATATATAAAAAAAAAAAAAACACACACACACACAAGATCTGCCAGCTTTCCCATAAACGATACTACGGGGCCACTCAGAGGAAAATGGGAGAAAAGGGAGACCAAGAAAACCCTGGATACAGAATACAGTTGACTGAACAGGCCTACATTATGCATTTCCATTGCATCCGACCTACCGAGGTAGACTGAACTGATCTGTCAAAAGCAGCTGATGAGATTTTATGCCTTCTTTCATAAAACCATATCTTTGATGCTCAGATGTACTTCTTGTTTTCTTTGATCCTTTACTGAATTATTGGCTTGTTTACTAATCGTCCTGGATTCATAGCAATGTGTTAAGACTGGTAAAATACTTGGGCCACATTTATGGTCTTAACACTCTTTCAAAAACCAGAATTAGAGGGGAAAATACAAGGCAAAAGAGCAAGTTGTAGACAGCGATACAAGTGGGAGGACAACATCAAGACATGGATGAATAGTGGTCTGAGAGAGTGCACAACCAAGACAAGATACAGAGTATTTTGCAGAGCCATTGCAACCAACCGTCATTGTGGACTGACCGGCTGGTTTTATGCAGCATACATTTGACTTGCTTTGCGAAAAACATCCGTCATTTTTAACCAGCATCCCTGAATGGGGAGCTTTTGGTTATATGTGTGACTAGGTTTATGTGCGCCATATAAAATGGTTTAGCATTGCTCGCCACGAATTAATACTGAAAAGGATTCTGGCAGTGTTGACGCAATCAAGCGAGACGGACCCAGTGGGCGACCGGGTCGCCTATGTATTCAGCATGCTCAAGTCCGTTTGCTTTTAAATGTTGTTTTAACGTTTGTTTGCCTTTCTGGCAGTATGCTTCTTAAGCATTGTAGTCTCGGGATTCTTCACCATACTGTATAGCATGGAGTGGGGCAGGGACAAGTCCAACCAATGGCTGACCACATTCCTGCTCTCATTTTTCCAGTCTGTTATCGTTGTCCAGCCACTCAAGGTAAGATAGGTTTTATATGTTCATGTGCCTTTGCTTGCTTTTGTTTACTAGGTCGAGAAGCTACTTTCTTAACCGACTTTCAAACTCGAATGTGATAGAGCTTGGAAAGCTATAATACAATGCTTAGTAGCAGAAATTATAGCAGGGTTAACAGTAGCAGCAACATTACGACTTATAATAAAAGCAGCAACAGCAGCAGCAGCAGTGGCAGCAGCAGTAGTGGTGGTGGTGGTGGTAGTAGTAGTAGTAGTAGTAGTACTAGTAGTAGTAGTAGTAGTAGTAGTAGTAGTAGGGGCTGTATTAATAACAATAGTAGTGGTCATAGTGGTACCAGTAGCATGAGTAGTAGTAGTAGCATTAGTAGTAGTAGTAGTAGTAGTAATAGTTGTAGCAGCAGCAGTAGCAGCACTAGTAGTAGTACTAGTAGTAGCAGTAGCATTGGTGGTAGTAGTAGTAGTAGTAGTAATAGCAGTAGTAGTAGCATTAGTAGAAGTTGTAGCAGTTGCAGTAGCAGCATTAGTAATAGTAGCCTTAGTAGTATTACTGTTAGTTGTTGCTGTAGCATTAGTAGTAGTAGAGTTAGTATTAGTAGTCGTATTAGCGGCAGTGGCAGTAGCAAAGGTTGCTCCGGGTGTTATTGTTGTTGTAGCGGCAGCTGAAGTAGTTGTTGTTGTTATTGTTGTAGTTGTCGAAGTAGTAGTACTAGATGTTGTAATAGTGATAGTAGTAGTAGTCATAGTAATAGTGGTAGTAGCAGTTGCTTTGTTGTTGTTATTTTGTTTTCTTATTTTAAAATTTTATTAAATGGCATAGTTGCTAAAAAGTATTTCTCATTCACAAAGTGAGAGAATTTATATTGTTGGAGATGTGAGCTATTGATATGCCATCATCATCATCATCATCAATTTTTTCACTTCTGTGGTTAAACGCCGTGGGGAGGAACAGTGTGGATTCATTTCTAGATGGTCATCAATGCTTACTGTCATTTCGTGTCGATGTACAAGTTCTTCAATGTCATCAGTCCATTTCTCCTAGGGTAACCTCTTGCTTTCACATCAGATCCTTTTATACGTAGCGCCTAAGTTGACAGTTGTTCTCGCTGCATCCCATTTGATCTTCTCTTTCTCAATGAATTTTCTTTTTGGTGTTGTTTCCTATAGTTTGTCTGACAATATCATTTCTAACTCTGTCTCGGATGGTTACGTTTTGATACTGTTCAAGTCTTACACTTGTAGCAATCTATTGATATGTATTTACTCTATATAGTAATTAAATTTTACCCCACCAGGACATCACACAAAACGATAAACACCCGGTGACACAAAGATCCACCATGCAGATGAGGATAACCCGTGGAGAGGTCTCAAAAACAGCGTTTAACCGTTAGGCTATATTGCGGCCCCCGGCAAAAGCCAGGGTGGGGCTTCAAAATAACGAAAAAATTGCGTCTCGCTTGGGAACGACTGTTTTGACCATATCCTAACTATATCTTACCAGGTGCTTTTATTGGTGGCTTTCCTAGCCTGTGTTTTGAAGAAACCAGAGCTGGATGACGACGACGCGAAAGAGGACATTAACCAAGTGTTGGCGGAGAAGGACAACAATGAAAGGAAAAGAGACGTGGCCAGTCTATCTCGTAAGACATGCAGCTAATCTGTCATTTTAGTTACCTGTTAGCATGTCACATTAGTTGCAAATAAAAACATTACATTTTAATTTTTATAAAACATGCAAGTAAGTGAGTGTCGGCTCTGTGGCTAAGTCGATGCGAATGCTTCGTAATGCCGGGATGCCGGGTTCGATTCCAGTTGCGGGCCATGCGTCTTGCGTTGGTTTCGACATTGGTATCAAGAAAGCCGACCGTCCAGAAAGCAATGGCAAACTACTTGAAGTAAATTTGCCTTTAAAAAACCACACAACAGCTAGGGGCTGTTGGGGTTGGTTCTGCAACGTTCTATAAAGGATACGCAACTAACTAAACCAGAATCGCCCGGGCACAAGTCCCAGAAACCCCTTTCAACCATTTGGTTATACTCGAATGAGGGCCGCCGACGATAGCCAGGGTTTGGCTTCAAAACAACAATAAAACTCCTTCCCATTCTGGAACACCAGAAATCATAAATAAAGCTCTTACTACTTTAATTAAATACAATACCCAATGCACTTTAAAAAAAAAATTAACACACGAGATCTTTACACTGACAGTTTTTAGTCAACAGTTTTAGTGAATAGTTTTATATCAATCCCCGCCCAAATAAAGGTTAACATTTTTTTGTTATTTTAACGCCTTATCCCGTCTGTAGTCAGGGGCCCTAATATAAACCTAACGATTAAACGGAGTTTATGGGACTTTGCTCGGGTGATTCTCATCCGAATGGTTGCACTTTATGTCACCGGGTGTTGGTCGCTCGTTGACCGGGTCTTAATGAGGTTAAATGTCACTCACTCATGTTTGTATCAAATAGTTTGATGGACCACTAGACCTATTTTGTTATGGACCAATATTCATTCTGTGGTTGAGGCAGTCAACACACGAATGAAGACCGACACACAAGAGATCAATATGCAAAGAGATTGAAAGAAGATGTGAGGAGGGAACAAAGGAAACATCATCATCAGAGACAGAAAAAGCAAATCCCAAGCGGCAAGCATTCAAGAATACATACACCCTACAGGGAACAGACAGAGAAATAAGATGATGGAAAGAATGACTAAACTACACATAAGTCCTTGTAAGGGTTAACTACCGAAAAACTGCAGCTCCCCAAGATGTCAACTAAAAGGAAGCAAACTGTAGAAGACACCATTTAATAAAAATAAAGAGTCGGTATCAAAGGGAACGACCAAATACCTCGCAGTGACATTAGCTGTGTGGAACTGAAAGAATACACCAGAAGAAATGTTTCGCCAGATGTGTCGTAGCAAGGAATCCTGCTTGTCAGGAACCAAGCCAAACTACACAGAGAAAAAAAACAGAGGATACATAACTCCTTGAAAATCAAAGCTGACATGTTCATTGAAGTTATAAGGGAAAGTAATTGTTTGGGGGGTCGCCACAACACGAGAGATCATCTCAGAAATCATTCTCATTATTCATACCTAATATATTTTAAGCTACATAGATTATTCAGTATAAAGTCTGGGAGACCGAAGAAATACCAGCAGACTGGAGAAAAGGATATCTAGTTAAACTGCCCAAAAAAGGTGATCTACAATAGTGTGAAAACTATAGAGGAATTATGTTACTGTCAATTCCTGGACAAATATTAAGTACAGTTATTGTGAAAAGATTAAAAGATGCTATTGATAAAATGCTAAGAGATGGACAGGCAGGGTTTTGGCCAAACAGATCCTGTACTGACCAGATAGCCAATTAACGTATTAAGTAAGAATAAACTCACAGGGAGCAAGTACAGCGGGGATCTACAGTCATCAGTAGAAATTATCCTCTTTCGACACACGTTTCGGCCCACGATTCCTAAACGTATTCGGAGGTGGGCCCACCTGAGTTCATGAAGCTCAGGGCTGCTTCCCCGCCGCACAGAATTACCGGATGGTGTTATACTTTCGGCCAGAGACAAGACGACTTGGTGGTTTCGAAGGAGGTACTGTGAGATAAGAAGCCGCCGCGACAGCGTAATTAGAACAGTCCGCATGCCTGGACGACCGAGCGACAAGCTTTACTTTGGTTTACCGGACACATGTTGGACTTTTGTTAGCAGTTGGCAGAGAGACACTGGCAGACGATTCGTACACGATGGACTTTTCAAAGGGATAAGAAACTCTTTTCCACTAGATACCCGGACCAGCTCACCGAGGCCCGTCCCCTACGTTGTTGCGCTGCGTCCAAAGCCAGCTGGATGCCCTTTCGGCCACCTCACCAAGTTTTTTGAGTGCCCGTTTCCGTTCATTACCGCGCAATCCTAATTCTTTCACCACATTGTAGAGCGAAGTGGAAACGAGGCCTCTCGCTCCCACTTCGACGGCAAATACCCGCACTGTGTAAGCCTCGTTTCTCCTCAAACCGGCTGCTAAATCACTGTACTTTTCGAGCTTGTACAAGTGATTCTCCTCCATACGCGACTCAAACGGGACCGTCAACTCAATCAGGATGAGTTGCCGTTTTTGCGCTGAATGGAGAACGATGTCCGGTCGCAGGCCGGTTTTACGGATCAACTCGGGATACCGTTCATGTCCTGGCAGATCAACCGCCAGTAACCAGTCCCTCGCAGAGTCTAGCGCAGATGGAGCGAATGCGTTTTTGTTGACCTTACCAATCGAAACCTGCCCAGCCTTGAGGAAACGAATGGGGGCGATACTAGAACTGGCTCTGGCGTTAGCCCTCATTCTAGCCTGGTCGACAACGGCTGCTAACTCCTTTAGCACCTTGTTGTGGCGCCAGGTATATCGGCCTTGACCTAGGGCTTTCCTGCACGCGGACAGGACGTGCTCAAGAGTTTGTTTTGATTTGCACAACGGGCAAGTCGGATCGTTGGTCGCAGACCATTTAACCATGTTGACACCGGACGGTAATACATCGTACGCCGAACGAACGATAAAGCTCAGTCGCAGCGGGGTCATCCGCCAGATCTCACCCCATGTGAGTATTCTAGGCAATGCGCTCTCCAGGCTGACCCAATGGCCCTGCTGCGACTGTTGGGCTGCTTTCTGGACCCGAACCTCGTTTTCGTTGTCCCTCACCGTTTGTATCACCATGTCTCGGCGCTCTTTGGCTGAGGCCTTTGACCACCAATTGACTTTCCCGTGCCCTAGGCCTCGACGGTCGGTTTGTGTGTAACCCATCACCTCCTTCAATTTTAGTGCGTTCTGAGCAGATTCAATCGCATCGAGGACTCTCCACTTCTGGCCAGTCTTTAGAGCGGGCTGGACAGCGATGACATTTGGGTCTGAGGACTCGCGCAAAAGCATGGCGAGCCTAACTTTGCCGACTTTAAACTCTTCGGTTATTGACTTGAACGGAAGTACCAGCTTAGCCTGTTTACAATACAGAGCCACGTCGGTCAGACAAGGCGGTGCACCAATCCACTTTCTTAAGGCTGTGTTGATTTTCTTTTCCATGGCTTCAACTGCAGTCATCGTCACCTCGTAGACTAGCAGTGGCCATAGAAGCTTCGGAATCAACATGAATTGGAGACACCATACCTTGAATTTTCCGACCAGCCTGCATCGCTCGATCGCGAGCAGGCCTGTAGCCAGTGACTCATGTATTCGCCGGACTTCCGCTCTGTCAGATAACTTCGAATCGTAAACGCGACCGAGACTCTTCACCGGTTCCTCCAGAACCGTAGGGATCTTGTTCCTTGCCACCGTAAAACTGATCGCCGACACTTTGCCCTTATGGATTGACAGACTCCTCGACTTCTGCGGTTTGAACTGCATACCGCTCCATTGGACCACCGCGTCCAATCTATTCAGGATCGTGCGGGCAGACTCCTCGCTGCCCGTTATAATAGTCGTGTCATCCATAAATGCGCGCAGTGGCGGCAACCAGTGATCCCCTATTTGAAGGCCCAGTCCGTAGCCGGCCGCCCCGTCCAACATGATCTGCATTGCCATGACAAACAGTATAGGTGAGATCGTACACCCCATAGCTATCCCAATCTGCAACTCAGTCCACCTCGTGGTAAACGTCGAGGTAGAGAAGCGCAAAGCGAACTTAGAGAAATATTGCTCGACCATTTGACTGATCTGTGTCGGTACGTGAAACATGCGAAGGGCTCGCCACAGTAGCCTATGGGGGACTGCCCCGTAGGCGTTGGCTAAGTCCAACCATATAACGTGCAAATTGGTTCTCTCATGCTTGGCTCTCTGGATAGCCTCCCAGATCATGGTCGCGTGTTCAAGGCACCCAGGAACGCCTGGAATGCCACCCTTCTGAACACTCGTATCTATGTACTTGTTAGTCATCAGATACTGTGTGAGCCGGCGAGCCATGACTGAGAAGAATATCTTACCCTCAACATTCAACAGCGAGATGGGCCTGAATTGGGAAAGACTCTTCGAGTCCTGCTCTTTGGGAATGTAGACCCCATTTGCCTTTGACCACTCTGGACATATGTGATTGCGGATCCACGCTTGTCTCAACAAGACGTGAAGCATTTTTAGGATTTTCGGGCAACGCTTGTAAAGAACGTACGGAACACCGTTCGGACCTGGGGCAGACTTGCCGCTGGCTTTTTTCACAACGTCCTCAACCTCAGACCAAAGGGGAGGTACCAGTTTAAATGGTACCTTCGGCACCGAAGGCTGTTTGAGTCCGCTAAGGATCTCTGGATTGTCATCAAGAGGCTCTCTCCTCTTCTTATCAGAGTACATCTTGCTTAGATGTAGCTCAAGTTCTTTCTGACTGACAACCAGAGTCCCAGACTTCGGTTGCTCGAATAGACCTCGGGCAAACTGATACGGGTCCCTAAAGAATTTCTCTCGCTCCCTTTTAGTTCTTCGTCTGTTGTTACAGAAACGCTCGGCGCGACAGAGGGCACTGTATTTGTTCTTTAAATGCACCCACACTTCGTACAGCCCCTCCCGTTCGCTGCCCGTAGCGGCTTTGAACTGTTTTCTGAGGGCATTCTTGTCTGCCCGACACTTCAGAATGTCCCTCTGCCTCCTGCTAGTATTCTGCTTGGCACCCGGCTGTGCCTTAACTACTGTCCCGAACTCGCGGGAGCAGTGTTCATATATTACATCACCAAATTTAGTAAGCTTGTCGCCTAGCGACTTCTTGTTTAGAGTTTGTTTAAGTACCTCACATAATGTAGCCTCCAACTTACACCACACCACCTTCTCGCTCGCAGGTGGAAACCTGATTCTGGAGCGCACTTCTTCAGAAATCATCAAAGGTGCTCCTCCGCAGTCGACGTCATGGGCCTCTCCGGGCGAGTGGGGTTCCCCCTGCCCGTCGTTCCCTAACGACTCAGAAACTACCACAGGAGTAGTAGTTTTGCGACGGCGTTTACTGCGTGGAGCACCCTCGCATTTCATTCTTCCGGCATGCGTTCTCAGACCATGCAACCCCGTGAAGCTTTTCCCACATGTACAGAGCCAGCCCGGACGTTGGGCGAGTGTCTCAGTCCGGGGGCTAGCAAGGTCGTCAACGAGGGTATCAATCAGATTGGGCCCTTCATTCTCCCCCCCTTTCGGAGGGCCCTGGGGGCATATTTCATTGTGGTTTAACGCAATCGGAGGTATTATACTGTGTTAGGGGTGATCAACCCGGTCCACAGTCGACATCTGTCTCCAGATGTCAGTTTATCCCCCCGGCGATACCGGGGGGCCAGTCTTTCCATAGGTGTCAAAAGGACTTTCCCGATAGTCACCAGTCTTTCCTGGTAGTCTTGTGGGCTAGCCACGTACAATAAGAATAAACTCACAGGGAGCAAGTACAGCGGGGATCTACAGTCATCAGTAGAAATTATCCTCTTTCGACACACGTTTCGGCCCACGATTCCTAAACGTATTCGGAGGTGGGCCCACCTGAGTTCATGAAGCTCAGGGCTGCTTCCCCGCCGCACAGAATTACCGGATGGTGTTATACTTTCGGCCAGAGACAAGACGACTTGGTGGTTTCGAAGGAGGTACTGTGAGATAAGAAGCCGCCGCGACAGCGTAATTAGAACAGTCCGCATGCCTGGACGACCGAGCGACAAGCTTTACTTTGGTTTACCGGACACATGTTGGACTTTTGTTAGCAGTTGGCAGAGAGACACTGGCAGACGATTCGTACACGATGGACTTTTCAAAGGGATAAGAAACTCTTTTCCACTAGATACCCGGACCAGCTCACCGAGGCCCGTCCCCTACGTTGTTGCGCTGCGTCCAAAGCCAGCTGGATGCCCTTTCGGCCACCTCACCAGGTTTTTGGTCAAACAGATCCTGTACTGATCAGATAGCCACATTACGTATTATAATAGAGCAAAGCATTGAACTGAACTCACCACTGTACATTAGATTTATAGACTTTGAAAAAAGCATTTGACAGCATTAATAGCAAATATCTCTGGAAATTGATGGGGCACTATGGAATCCAAGAGAAAATATTAACTTAGTAAAGGCAACATACAAAGACATGAAATGTCAAGTTTTTCATGAGGGAAAGCTAACAGATACATTTGAAATAAAAACAGGTGTGCGACAGGGATGTCTTTTGTCGTCTCTCCTATTTCTACTGGCTATAGACTGGATTATGAAGACAGTAACTGCTAACACCAAGAATGGAATTCAGTTGACTCCTACAAAACAGCTTGATGATCTGGACTTCGCTGATGATATTTCCCTTCTGTCCCATTCACGGAATCGGATGCAAGATAAATTAAAAATACTTGATGTGAGATCACAGCAGCTAGGTCTGAAAATCCATAAAGGAAAGACAAAGATAATGAGAAAAAATCAAGCAAATAGTAATACGGTGTCTCTTAATGGCACCCCACTCCAAGACGTGGAGTTGTAAACTTATTTGGGCAGTAATGTAGATAAAGGAGGAATTGATATAGATATTAAAATATGAATACAAAAGGCAAGAGGAACTTTCATAGCACTTTGGAATTTGTGGAGGTCAAAAAAAAATTACTAGAAATACTAAACTTAAAATTTTTAATTCAAATTTCAAATCAGTACTTTTGTATGGGGCGGAAACACAGAGAACAACTAAGGCAATTACTAATAAATTACAGGCATTCATTAACTGGTGCCTGCGCAGAATAGAGGGAATTAAATGTTATGATGGAATAACTAATATAGAACTTTGGGAGAGAACTAAACAGGCTCCGGTGGACCAAGAGGTAAGAAAAAGATGCTGGCCTTGGATAGGACACACACGGAGAAAACAGGAGAACAGAGTAACTAGAATGCTTTTGCAATCGACCCCACAGGGGCATAGGAATAAAGGAAGAAAAAAAAACACATGGAGAAGAGAACTGGAGAAGGAAGTTAGAAAGATGGGGAGGACATTGGGAGAACTGCATGTAATGGCGAAGGATAGAACGACTTGGCATGAGTTGGTTGAGGGCCTATGCTCTATTTGGGGATAGAAAGGCAGAAGAGGAATAGATTTTAAAGTAGATGTCATGTACCTGATCTTGGCTGACTTGATGGCTTATGTTGCCTCTCTCATAGATCATGCTCATTATTCATACCAATTAGATTTAAAAGTAGATATCGTGTACCCGATCTTAGTTGACTTCGCTGTTTATGTTGCTTCAAACAGAGATCATGCTCATTATTCATAACACATAGATTTTGAAGTAAAAATCACGTACGCGATCTTGGCTGACTTGATTGCTTATGTTGCCCTCTCTCAGAGATCATGCTCCAGAGACAGTACGACAAGTCCGAGTTCCAAGCACCAGATCCCGAACAACTGGCTAAAGCCCGAAACGACCGTCTGATGGAAATCAAGATGGAAGCCGTTCTCAAAGACATTGCTTTATATACTTTCTTTGTGGTGGTGATTTTCTTCTTGTCGTACCAACAACGTGATCCGCAGTCTTACTACCTGAGTAATCACATCAAGAACACAATGCTAGATAAGCATGCTGACGTAAGTGTTTACATGTGTAAAGGCTCATACAGTTTTGTTTGTTACATGCATTTTTTGTGTGTGGAGGCTTCATACTGTAGACGCTTGCCTGGGGATCTAAAGGTCATCGGTTCAGGTTCTGAAAAAGCCAAACTTTTTTCAAACATAATGAACACATGGTGTTCATGTCGACCAAGCCTTAAATGGATGAATCACCAATTGAATCACCACAAAAATAAATCAAAAATAAAATTAATAATCGATGCTGTATCTCGATGTGCTGATCTAGTTGCCTCTCCTAAAGCTGCTTCTGCGATGACTTGCTTTCTTGACAGTTGTTCAGATGAAGATTGTCAGTTGAACTGTCTACTGCTTCTTTTAAAATATTGCAAGAAATTATGTTAATTTGATAGAGGTAATTATGACCACACACTTTATTTGTATGCTATAGTACTTATTGCATCAGATGCATACTGATTATGGAGATGTTCAGTGAAGCACTTATTACACAGTCTGCATACTGTTCGTGGTAATGCTTAATGTACTACTGGTTGCACAAACTGGATATTGATCAATGTATGTGCTTTTTATTTTCTGTTGTGTACTAGTACTATAATTATAGCATACTATGACTAGTTCACTGCTAACTACACACTTAAATAGTTCACTGCTAACTGTAGACACTTAAACAGTTCACTGCTAACAACACACTTAAATAGTTCACTGCTAACTGTAGACACTTAAATAGTTCACTGATAACTGTACACACTTAAATCAACACTTAGATTTGCACAGACTTTTTAGATAGTTTTCCTGTTGACTGAATGTGTTTAGATCGTAGGAAAGCTTTATTATTATCGCCTTCTTGTGTTTTGGACGATTATTATACGATGAACTTCAGGTATTGATGAATATTGATCACGAGACATCAATGAGTGCCGATCTTGAGGTATGGTAGGCTTCTCGTACTGTAGTTTCCTAACAAATTGTTTGCCACGGTTGATAATGTGGAGCGGTGACACATATACCCAGTGTCAGAGCTGTAGTTCTTTGATCTCAGTTTCCAGTCAACACACTACCCGGTGTTGTAACTGTCTTTGTACTTTTTGAAAACAGATCCGAAAACAGGATCTGGTGTCGACACTTTCTTGTGTTGCTCGGTGTAGATTTCCTACTGCCTTTCACCACACTTTAGTCGGCAGCAAATTTTGACTAAACAACAGGTCTTCGGAAGTGTTGTAGAGGGACAGCCCTAGCCTCACATCATCCATGCGTAGACTTACTGTTACTTTTCCTTTGCTACCATTGATGACTGCTCCTTGCCACTGTCACTATCTACAATATTTCCTTTGCTTCTTGTTGATTGTTGGTTAGTTGGCCGAAAACTTGAATCATGGACTTATCTACTAGCATTCAAAGCCTGGAATTTGTTCAAACGTTGTTCAATCTGTAAACAATCGGGCATGGGGTGTCGCTATTGCCATTAATCTTCGCCGCTTACGTTCCTATATTGAACTGGTTCTACCCGACGTCAGGCTGATAACTACACTCATTTCCAATGTTTCAGATTTCACTGTCCGATACACATTTCCTATCCTCAATTGTTTGGACGAGCCTTCATTCGTGCGATGACTTTCTTTTATCTTCTATCTGGCTCGCTTGTTATCTCACACACCGACATCACACGACGAGCAGAAAATGGACCACTGGAAAAACAACACGATACTGTTCCAGCACTTTAATCTTCCACTGGCGGCTTACACAGCCGGCACATGAAATAGACTACTGTCCAGGCACACATTATAACTCAAATATCAAAAGTATCAATTATTACCTTCTGTCCGAAATCACAATCGTCCTACACTATCATCATGAACGAAAACACAACAGTTGTCCTGACAGAAAAACTAACAAAGCCCGCAGACATATTGCCTGCCAGCTTTTTTGCCAAGTTGGACTGGAACAAATTCACTCAACACATGTTAAATCCAGACATATTCCATCGTTGACCATGCACTCTGTTCCTGGGCCCAAACGAGACTCCCCATCAGCCCTTTCTACGGCATTAAATAGCCTTCTAATCCCCGCTTCGTTTTCCCCGAATACTCCGTGTCCCTTCTGTCTCACGACTTCCATTTGGCCGGCAGTTGTGTGTGGCACGTGATTCATCGAACTTCGCATGAAGTTCGACAGTCAACATTTCTCTTCACGTGAATAATTATACTTCACGCAAAGTTTGACTATCAGCTTTTTTCTATAACTTCCGTGAAGTTCAGACTCAACAATTCCCGTGTCGTCCCAGCTAGAGTCAAAATATTCCGCTCACATTTATTAATGACGTCATTTGTCGGGCATAAATTAACTGGGAGAAAATGAGATTCACCACACCAGGTAAAGTCCTGGGAAGTAAGGGAAGCTGGCTTGATAAAAATACGTCTGGAAGAGTGGAGATAGTTTTTTACTTTTTACTTTTACATGCTATTTTAGTCAAATATACTTTAAAAAAAATTTCCAAGAATAGTCCTGTGAATATTTTGGTAAAACAAGATCACACACAAAAAAAGATCAAAGGAAAAAAAACCAGAATGTTGATCACTGACATACGTTAACAAAGGAAGAAGATGGGCATAGCTTTGACATGTTTGCAGAATGCCTTGTGATACTTTGGCAAGAGACATCTCACTGATAGAAAGCAAATGGAAAAAGAAGTCGAGGACCACCTAAGGATTCCTGTAGGAAAGAAAAACAGTGGGAAAAGGGAAATAAAATAATGCAAAATAATATGGGACACCAGGGATGGAAAAACAGGTGACCATCAGCAATGGAGGTCACTTGCGTCTACCTTTTGTGTGAGCAACGTCATAAATATCATTTAGAGGAATTTATATAACCCAGTGACGATTTGTGAAAATTTATTAGGAAGCTGCGGAGATGTGGTTTTATAGACAAATGATGAGAATAGCATGGACAGATAAAAAGAGTAATGAAGATGTCTTTAAAGAAACTGACTCACGAAGAGAACTGATTGTCTACAACAGAAAGAGACAATCTATATTCTTTGGTCATGTGATGAGAAGGAGAAAACTGGAGTACACCGTGACAGTAGGAAAGTTGGAAGGGAGAGGAGGCAGAGGGAGATCGAGGAAAAGGTGCTGGACAGTTTGACATCATGGCACGTAACCACATATGTTTCTTCTATGCTCCTCCATACGTAACCACATATGTGTCTTCTAAGTTCCTCCATACGTAACCACATATGTGTCTTCTATGTTCCTCCATACCTAACCACATGTGTGTCTTCTATGTTCCTCCACACGTAACCACATATGTGTCTTCTATGTTCCTCCATACGTAACCACATATGTGTCTTCTATGTTCCTCCATACGTAACCACATATGTGTCTTCTATGTTCCTCCATACGTAACCACATGTGTGTCTTCTATTTTCCTCCACACGTAACCACATATGTGTCTTCTATGTTCCTCCATACGTATCCACATATGTGTCTTCTATGTTCCTCCATACGGAACCACACGTGTGTCTCCTATGTTCCTCCACAAGTAACCATATATGTCTCCATTTTTCCTCCACACGTAACCACATATGTGTCTCCTATGTTAGCCCACACGTAACCACATTTGTTTCTCCATTGTTCCTCCACACGTAACCATATATGTGTCTCCCATGTAAGTCCTATGTAAGTCCACACGTAACCACATATGTGTCTCCTATGTAAGTCCTATGTTAGTCCACACGTAACCACATATGTGTCTCCTTTGTTCCTCCACACATAACCACATATGTGTCTCCTATGTTACTCCACACGTAACCACATATGCATCTTCTATGTTCCTCCACACGTAACCACATATTCGTTCCCTATGTTCCTCCAAACGTGACCACATATGTCTCCTTTTTTTCCTCCACACGTTGCCATATATGTGTCTCCATTGTTCCTCCACACGTAACCACATATGCGTCACCTATTTTTTTCCACACGTAACCACATATGCGTCTCCTATGTTCTTCCACACGTAACCACAAATGCGTCTTTTTTGTTCCTCCACATGTAACCATATATGCATCCCCTATGTTCCTCCACACGTAACCACATATGCGTCACCTATATTTTTCCACACGTAACCACATATGCGTCTCCTATGTTCTTCCACACGTAACCACATATGCGTCTCCTATGTTCCTCCACACGTAACCATATACGTATCTCCTTTGTTCCTTCAGACGTAACCACATATGTGTCCCAAGTTCCTTCACACGAAATAACCACATATGTGTCTCCTATGTTGCTCCACAGGTAACCACATATGTCTCCTTTGTTCCTTCACACGTAACCACAAATGTTTCTATGTTCCTCCACACGTAACCACATATGCGTCCCCTATGTTCCTCTACACGTAACCACATATGCGTCACCTATGTTACTCCACACGTAACCACATATGCGTCTCATATGTTTCTCCACACGCAATCACATATGCGTCACCTACGTTCCTCCACATGTAACCACATATGCGTCTCCTGTGTTCTTCCACACGTAACCACATATGCGTCTCCTATGTTCCTCCACACGTAAGCACATATGTGTCTCCTTTGTTCCTTCACACGTAACCACATATGTGTCTCCTATGTTCCTCTACACGAAATAACCACATATGTGTCTCCTTTGTTCCTTCACACGTAACTACATATGTGTTTCCTATGTTCCTCTACACGAAATAACCACATACGTGTTTCCTATGTTCCTCCACACGTAACTACATATGCGTCTCCTTTGTTTCGCCTCATGGTTTTAAATATTCACAGTGATGTAATTTATAACAGTTCTCCCTAAAACTTTCCGCTTTGTTTAACGTTTCGATTTGTGTCTTCTACAGATAAAGACTGTGAATGATTACTGGAAATGGCTGGATGAAACGCTCCTGCCATCACTGTACGCAGTCAACTATGCCAATGAACAGGAGATAGAAAACTGGCAGGACACAGCTTGTGCTTCTGACTTGGACAACCGTAGAGTTGGTGTGGCACGTCTCCGGCAAATGAGAGTTAAAAATGGTAAGAGAAACCATGTTATATCATTGGTAAAAAGAACCGTTTATTCAATATCTATTGAGTTTGTCTTTCCATATGTAAGACGCGTTTAAACAGCATCCTGTCCCGTAAGCTGAAGTATGTTGACCCTAGTGAGCGTCGTTGTGGCCTAGAGAGAATGGTGAAGGATTTGACAGTTTCTGGAAAACCACGCAGAGACCGAACTCCGCGAGGGTTGATACCAAAGAGGCTTTAGCTATGAAAGCCAAAAATACTGGAGAAATGACTTCAGAACGAAAGACTAGTTCCGTAGACTGTCCTTCATACGTGACGTGAAGAGAGCATCGTTCCGGAAAGGACCTACTGATTGATGATGATGATATAATCAGGGTCTTTTCCCAGTTTCTTCATTAATCTGATTTCCTGTTATAATTTCATGGTAATCTTTAACTTTAGTGGGTCTCGGCGAAAATTCATTCCAGTTATACTATTAGCATATGTTCTCATTGTGTGTCCTTTCCAGTGCCATCGTCCTTTCGTCACTTCTAGATCTTTTTTTTTTCTTTCTCCTTATTATGTATTTTTCAAAGATATGTGTTAGTGAATATCTCATATCATCCCAAACTACTAAACGTACAATTTGTCTAGAAAAATCACAAGAGCAAAAAATTAATAGGGCTGGTTCTGCACCGTCATGTACTAACGTTTATCTCATATCATTCACTCCCTTCTTATCTGCACATGAAAAGCAAGTTAACGAGTGTTTGCAGTTTATTAGTAGTTGTTCTACTCGTAATTCTGGATTTTTTTTTCATTTAAGCTTATGGATTTGATGTTAGAGTTAATTATTCAAACTGTTGCTATATCTTAGGACTTCTGTTAATTTTCCATGTTATTAAAGATCCTATTCCCCTGTGTGTTCGTTATGTGCGTGTGTGCGTGTGGGGGGGGGGTGTATGTGTATGGGTCTGTGTGACCGTGTATGTCTGGGTGTGTGTCTGTGTGTGTTTGTGTAGGCGTGTGTGTCTCTGTGTGTGGGTGTGTGTGTGTTGGTATGTGTGTGTGTGTGTGTGTGTGTGGGTAAGTGTGTCTGTGGGTGCGTTAGTATCTGGGTATATGTTTCTATGATAGGTTATGCTCTCAAAATTGACATAAATGCGAATTAAACATACTATGCGTGCTCGGTCTCTGGTTATAGTTGGTTGTGTATCCGTTACAGGACGTTTCAGAACCAACCCCAGCATTTTTGGCTGTTGTGGTCTTTCTAGGCAAATTTTACATTCAGTAGTTTACCATTGCGCTCTAAACGGTCAGCTCTCGGTACTCCTGTCAAACCCATCCGCAATGGGATCGAAGCCGGCACCCCGCCATTACGAAGCGCGTTTGGAACGCCTAAGTCACAGAAGGCGACCTGTACAGTCTCTATTTCAAGGTACCACTCCCTACCGACTAGTCTCTAGGAATTTGGTTACGTCTCTTATCTTGACCCTTGATGACGCCATAGACGGGAGTGGCCAGGGTGTGCTCCTAAACACGTAATTGTTTTAGTGTCACAGAATCAGCAATACCTACCAGCTAGTCCCTACATCATTTACTATTTCGCTTACTGTATCAGGTGCTGTGTCCTGGTTTCTTGCCAGTTTGTTTCAGTCTATATTGCCTGTACTCTGGCCAGCCCAGATGTGTAGAGCGAGATGAAGAAGGTTCAAGATTGAAGTATCGAAAAGAGACAGAAAAAGACAAGAGAAATTGCGTGGAAAGGACGGGGCAGATTCAGTTTAAACTCAAACTATTGCAAATCACGGCCTCTAGATTGCCAGAATGGTCTCACTTGGAACTCTCCACCCCCCCCCCCTTTCCTCCTCTTCCCCCCCCCCCCCATCATTATGTCTCAATCTACAGTTCTTTCAAAAACACAGTAATAATAAGGCCTCTTTCAAACAGTAGACAACCATAGTGGTTTTGGCATCTGAAATGATTTACACTTTAAACTGTCGTAACGTAACAATTCTTTTTTAAACTGTTACGATGATTTAATTTGTGATTTTATGTCGAAGTATCATGGGCTCTTTTCTTCAATCAAAGACGGAGCCCTGCAAACTGTTCACGCTGTGACACACTCTAAAACAAACATAATTTCACAACACAGTAACTCGGCCTATAGGTAACGTTTGCAAAACCATACATCTGCTAATTGTTTTATTTACCATTTTACATAAATGAAATAATGAGATTCAACCTCACCAGGACATCCACCAAGCGATAAACACCAGGTGACACAAAGTGCCATGCGGATGAGCATCACCCGGGGAGAGGTCCAAGAAACCCCGTTCAACCGTTAGGCCATACTAGGACCCCTGACCACAGCCAGGGTGGGGCTCTACCACGTTACATTTTCGCAACTCAATTTTCTACTGCAGCAGCCGACACACTGGTGGGTAGCGAAACACAGTTTGGAAATCTCTGCTTTAAGATAATTTGATATAAAATGCTAAGCCCTAATGGTTTGTGCACCGATTTACACTCGATAGATGGGGTTTTATGGTCAGTATCAGACCTCTCTCCTTTACTTCCAAGACTATTTCCCCTGACCCATTTTAGTCTAAAGGACAAGTCTGCTCCCAAAGTCAGTTGGTTTAAGTTTTTGTTAACACTTGCCCGACCGACAATTATGTCCCAAAGTCAGTTGTTTTAAGTTGTTGCTGGCACTTATTAATGGTCTACAGATACAAGTCAACTGTTTTCAGTTTTTGTTGATGACACTTATTAATTATTTACAGATACATGTACCGATTCTTTGCTCGACCCACAAGTCTGTCCCAAAGTCAGTTGTTTCCATTTTTGTTAATGACACCTCTTGATTGTTTACAGATACATGCACTATCCTGCCCCAACTGACCACGGTCATCCACCATTGTCGGGGAGACTACAGCTGGACCAATGATGACACGAAACCCTATTTGCCATACTGGGTTGTGCCTCCCAAAAATGTAACAGAGTCGCTCAAAGACAAGGACGATCCTTTTGTAAGTGTGAAAACTTTGCGTCCTAACCGTATGGTTATGGTGAATATTCCGTTATTTAAAAAAAAAAACGTTCTAATAATGAAGATATTATAAGACCTATTGGGACAGTACCCATCGCTAAATGTGCTCAGAGACAACGACTGAAATGGATCCGCCATTTAATGAGAATTAAATCATCGAAGGCACAACAGCGCACTGCGTGAAAATGGAAATATTGAGTCACATAGGGAGATTGAGAACAATGTGGGTCGAAGAAATCACTGATTTCACAATATCACTGCATACCAGACAGCCGTGTATGCCGTGCTTCGGCTACCAATCATCTGTTAAACTGCGAATAGAAAGAGGTAGGAAGCAAAAATGGACAAAAGAAAAGAAGACGCATTGGGCATATAGTGATAGACCTATACTTTGATAGAGCAATGAGAACTAGACGGGTGAACAACTCAGACGAATCTCAAGTCTAACGCTGTGTTAATGTGGCTTGTGTGCAAAAGCGTAGAATACATCCTGCAAGACTGTCCCTTGTACAGCTTGCTTAGAAGTAAATACTACCCCAAGAAACAACACCATAATCTCACCGAGTGGGGTCTGGCTCACCACTGGAAGGTGTGGGGGGGGGGGCAGAATTAGAAGCACTGCCTCATAACAAGCAAGTCGTAAGAGGCGACTTATTGGGAAAACGGGGGTGGGGTGGGAAGGGGTGTTCCTTCGAAGTCGAAGTGCATCTCCCTAAGAGGCGATGGACCAACTGTCTGCATAAACTCAGCCCGATCTGTAAAACAGATATATACACAAAACTTAGATCCTGTAATAAGACTTGAGTCCAAAAGTGGACGAACAACCAGAACTTGCCGCTTTAGTTAACAGATAATTACGGCTAAGAAGAAGAAGAAGACCAGACTGAGAGCTGTATGTGATAAAGAGGATCTCTAACAAATAAAACCAGTCAGCTTTTATCAATGCACTCGCAAGTAGGTGTAAATCAGAGATGTGATTTAAAAAAAGAGGATTGACCTGGTGAGTGATGCTATCATCGTCACGTAGTTCATTTTAATTTTAGGCTGGGTCAAAATATCTAGTTTAGGATTAACTTTCACTGACTGATTGTTTCTACACCACCAGGACATCACACAAGCGATAAACACACGATGACACAAAGTGCCACTATGTGAATGAGGATCACCCGTGGAGAGATCCAAGAAACCGCGTTCAGCCATTAGACCAAAATTATGGCCGGGCTATATTGCGGCCCCTGGCAAGAGCCAGGGTGGGCATTCAAAATAACGAAAAACTGCATCCAACAAGGGGATGACTAGTGTAGACAAAAATATGATTAACTTTACCTTTTCCTTGTTTCTCTGTGGCTTTATGCCGTCACATGTTTAATTAACCAATTGTATCTTCAAAGCTGTTTTAAAATCGAATGCAAAAATCTCGCAAAATGAAATTAGAAACAATGAATACACCAGTTAATAACTTAACAAAAAACAAAAAATAAAACTAATTTAAAAAAAAAAAAAAATTACATTGAAACGTAGAAAGGTAATGAAAAAGTAACTGAAACAGTACCTCACAACGCGCAGTGTTGCTGCTCTGCAACATCCTCCATATTCTTCTGGCCTGGCACTGACCGACTTTTTTACTTGTTACCTAAAATTGGCACTGAACGGACAGCGATTTGAGAATGCCGTGGACATTATAACCAGTGCCACAAAGCAGTTGAAATATGTGTCAAAGAATATGTTACAGAAAAGTTGTCAACAATTTCATGAACGTTTGCAAAAGTGTGTAGTCGCAAAATGGAATTATTTTGAAAAAAAAATTATAGTAAACAATTGTATTATTACTTATTTCTATTCAGTTCACAAATTCTGGTAGATAGGTAGGTAATAGTACACCACCAGGACGTCGCTCATGCGATAAACACCTGGTGACACAAAGTGGCAACATGCTGATGGGGATCACCCGTGGAGAGGTCCTGGAAATCCCGTTCAGCCGTTAGGCAATATTTCAGGCCGGCAAAAGCCAAGGTGGGGCTTCAAAATAGCTAAAAATTGCATCCCACAAGGGGATGCCGAGACTGAAAATTCTGGAAACTTTTGTGAAGCTATCTCGTATATCACATGCTGCAAAAATTACCAGTATATTATTGTTTATTCATTGATGTGTTATCAAATGTTTCAGGTCTATCAGAGCTCAGTGAAACTCAAAAACGCTCCATATGTCGGTACCCTAGCAACATACAAAGGAGGTGGATATGTCATTCTTACCAAACGTCAGTTCTGTCGAACAAAAGCCGTTCTCGACAAGGCGAAAGAAAACAACTGGCTGGACCTCAACACTCGGGCTATATTTCTGGAGTACACGGTCTACAACCCAAACTCTAATCTCTTTGCCTCGGTTACTGCCCTTACTGAGTTTTTGACAACAGGTTCTGCAACCTCTAGACTAGATGTCAAGGTAACAAGCATTCATTATAATCAGGTGCCCTGCCGACTGGCGCAGGCGTTCGTGCATCTCTATATATCTCGGTCTCGTGTTCTGTGGATCATTTCCACCAATGATACCCCCCCCCCCCCCATGCCACCGTCGCATTCCATCCATCATAATCTCTCTTTGTCTGCCGCTTCCTCTTCTACCGCTTATTTTCTCAGTGGTGACAATATTCTCCAGAGCCTCCCCTCTCATCGCATGACCAAAGAACAGTGCTTGTCTTTTCCTTTTAGCTGTTTTTCTTTCAAGCAATTTTCGTTAGTTACTCTGGTAGTCTAAGGGATTCTTAATTTTCGTCCGAGGAACCACATCTCGGCCACCTTAAACTTCTTTTTAATTTGTGCATTTACATTCCATGATTCACTGTCATTAAGAAATATTAGTTCTACATAACATTTTATTACTCTCTTTCAAACATCCAAAGAGAGGGGCCTGTTGCACAAGATGTTCATTCTGTGAAATAGAGCCTTAGCTTAGCTTATTTTCTCCTAATTTCTGACACATATCTTCCGTCTGATGTTATGATTGTACCCAGGTATTTGAATTCAAAGACTGGGAATAACTTTTCACCATCTCATTTGATATCACACTGTGGTGGTATTCTTTTCTTTGAAAAAACAATTACCTCCCTTTTCTTTATATTCAAGGACAGACACATTTTTGCACTCTGACTCCTAACGATGTCCGATATTTTTAGAGTAGATATTCTTTCTTTTTTTTTTTTTTTTTTTCACTTCTATGTCTACGACAGACATGTGCAATAATTTACTTGGTAATTTACTGTCTTCTCATCTTAATTATATCGATGATTTTATTATTTGATTGTTGTTCAACTGTTTAACTTTACAAATACGTGTGTCTGACTTCTTCCTCCCTTGCCCGTATTTTCCCGCCCACCTAGCACCCAAGATACACTAGGCTAATACTCTGTGAAGCTGTAATCATCAGCATCATCATCACGTGCCCTGCCGACTGGCGTAGGCGTTCATGCATCTCCACAGATCTCTGTCCCCCTTTTCTATGGATCAGTTCCACCGAGGATATCGCTCCATGGCACCGTGGCAGTCCATCCTTCATCACTCTCTCTTAGTCTGCCTCTTCCTCTTCTATTGTTGATCTTACCAGTGGTTACAACATTATCCACAGTGCTCCCCGCCCGTTTCCCCTATTCACATGACCAAAGAACTGTGCTTGTCTTTTTCCTTATAGTTGTATATATTGATCTGCTTTCTGTAGCTTCCTTCAAGCAATCCTCGTTAGTTACACTGGCAGTCCAAAGCTGTTATGAGAGCCCTAATTATAACATCTTGAGGGTGTTTCTTGGCACGGGTCCACAACGTATAGGAGAACAGGTCTTTGAACAAGATATTCCCCACACAGGATCTATGGGCCCATTATAGGGAAAACAAGAGCAGACACACCACCTCCATAACAAGCATGTCGTGAGAATCCATAAAGTATGGGATTCCTTCGAAGTCGGGAAAACAAAGAACCGCCAGATGTGTACAAATACGCTCGATCTGGAGTACGAATGTAAACCTAAAACTCAAGTTCTGCAACAAGACTAAAGTCCAGTAGCTAACAAACAGTCAGAACCCCCCTCCCTCTCCCCTCACACCCCCCCCCCCCCAGTGTTTACAGCCGGTGAATGCGACAAAGGAGAACATCAACATATGCTGGCAATAATTCCGCTTCTATCATCACATACTTTCAAATATGAAATTCGTTTTAAAGTAGTGACTATTTTTAATGATGGATTTGTCCCTATGAAAGGAGCAGACAAGTTAACAGCCCCTCCCCGTGAGCTTGCTTATCTTGTTATAACAAGATTCGTCTTGGACACTCATCGTCTAGCATTCTGTTGTTTCATCATCATCATTCTTTTCTTATTGCTCCATTACATGTCATACGTAGGGCTAGCAGTCTATTCCTGCAATCTGTTCCATTCTGTGCATAGAGATGATAGAATGTACACGTGACAGAAGGTTGTGGAAAGACATGACTAACAAAGTCACACGCCATGGACTTTAAGATGAAGAAGATGATTATTCGATATAATTAATGTTATTCTGCAAACACGTTCTTCAATATTACTCTCCTAAAAATGAACGACAATCATTATCATCATGTGCCCTGCCAACCGACATAGGCCCTAACGCGTCTCTACAGATGACGATTCCTGGCTGCCTGGAACAGCTGTCTTGATGATATCCCTCCAAGCCATCGTTTTAGCCTATCAAGCATTATCTCTCTTGGTCTGCCTTAACCCTTTTTTTTCACTTATCTTTCCAGTTGTCACGACGTTCTCCAATGTCTCTCTTCTCATTATGCGGTGTAAGCGAACTTTCTTAGCGCATAAAAGGGTTCTTATTCCGCTTGTCTTAGTCGACAATATATTCCCATTATTCGTGTGTGTAACAGGCGTATACATGATAGCAGTGGTTCCCAAACGGTGTACCGTGGTACCCCAGGGAGCCGCGACCTCTTCACAGGATAGCCCCGAAAAATTGTAAAAGCTACATAATTAATTTAACCAAGACACGAATAGTCATACATTTACTAAGGTCAGAGTGCCGTGGAAAAATTGTTTTAAAAAAAAAAAGGCGTTGCGACCAAGAAAGGTTTTAAAAACACTGCATTATATTGTCCCCCCCCCCCCCCCCTTTCCCCCTGAGAATAGCTGGTTTAATTTAAAACGGTGGCGTCAGGGCTCTTTATATAGCTTAGGGTCTCATGAAGTCTAAATCTAGCCCTGCAGACAATCGGTAAACCGTGGCGTTGTCGGCTAGACGCCCGCCTGCGAATCGGAAGATCGTGGGTTCGCATACTAACGGACCCGAACATTTTATTTTTAATGACATTGACTACCATTCTTGAGATGGTACCAAATGCAGTCATGGGAAGCAAAGGTGGCCGGCGTGATGTTGACCACATCACCCACTAAGTGTCGATTGGTTTATAAAATTTTAAGTCTAGTCCTAAATACCCAATAGGCCTTTATAGGCGTAGACAAGTGACCTTACTTAAGCGGTAAAAATGAACACTATAATAAAAATTAGTTCGGCAATATTAATATAGTTCAAATAGGCTGATCAGCACCTTTTTATTATTATTATTATTATTATTATTATTATTATTATTATTATTATTATTATTATTATTATTATTATTATTGTTGGTGTTGGTGTTGCTGTTGGTGTTGTTGGTGTTGTTGTTGTTGGTGTTGTTGTTGTTGTTGTTGTTGTTATTATGGCTATTATTTGAAGTTACATTGTATTTCGAAATATTTACTCTATGTAAATTGTATTGATTTACCTAATTTGGTATTGTTCAACAGGTATTCCGACTGATGAGCTACATGGGAGGGTTTGGAGTTGTTGTCCTTATATTCGAGATCTTATTCGGAGTCACCACGGTATTCTTCTTCGTTCAGTGTGTGAAGAAGGTCAAAAACGAGAGAGCTGCTTACTTCCAAGACTTCTGGCGCCTCCTGGAGTTTGTTCTCGTGTGCTTCGCTGTTGCCTGTATTGTCCTGTATATTCTCAAACACGTAATCACAAAAGTGGCCATGAGAGCCCTGAAGAATAGGAAATCAGGTACACTTCAGCAGCGAATAATATTACTTGCATTAGTCATTATTATTCGCATCATTAACATTATTATTCATTTATTTGTCATCATTAGCATTATCAACATTACCATATGCCATAAACGACTGATCAGAGTAGTTATAGTCATGTAATGTATTCCAGAATTTCATTATTCAGATGACACAGTCCTCCTTTCGAACAATGTAAGTGGAATAGAAAATTTAATCATGTGTGTCCAAAAGCACAGTGAAGATCTAAACCTATTCTTGAATTTAAAGAAAACAAAAATAATGTTCGTAGGAAAAACTGGCGGTCACCCAAAAAGCAATAAATGAAAAAATTGAAAATGTCACAGACTATGAATATCTAGGCTCTGTAATAAATAGCAAAGGAAACTGTTTGACAGAAATCAAAAGGAGGATGGCCATAGCTAAATAAAGATTAAACAGCCTAAAAAGTCTATGGTAAGCACCAGCAAGGTAATCACAATTAGAATTTTGAGAGCATGCATCTTCCCTGTAGCAACATACGGATGTGAGTCATGGACTATCTCCCAGTCCTTAAGAAATTTAACAACAAAAGGGGGTTGAGGCTTTCGAGCCGAAATACTCTAGAAAGATTTTCAGAATACCAGGGACAGAGAAAAGAAGAAGTACTAATATTTTTTACAAATCTGAACATCAAGGAAGACTGGCTAATAAACAACATCAAGGAAGACTGGCTAATAAACAACATCAAGGAAGATTGGCTAATAAACAACATCAAGGAAGACTGGCTAAAAAACAACATCAAGGAAGGCTGGCTAATAAACAACATCAAGGAAGACTGGCTAATAAACAACATCAAGGAAGACTGGCTAATAAACAACATCAAGGAAGACTGGCTAATAAACAACATCAAGGAAGACTGGCTAAAAAAACAACATCAAGGAAGACTGGCTAATAAACAACATCAAGGAAGACTGGCTAATAAACAACATCAAGGAAGACTGGCTAATAAACAACATCAAGGAAGACTGGCTAATAAACAACGTTAGGGAAGACTGGCTAATAAACAACATCAAGGAAGACCTGCTACACGATGATGATTCTAGGGAAGTGATTGATTTTTGTATTATAAACCTGACCTGGTTCACTTCAATATGAAAGACAATAAAGAAAAGGAAAAACAACCCAGTATACTGACCTTATATATACATATATATATATATATATATATATATATATATATATATATATATATATATATATATATATATATAGAAAAGAAGCCTTGCTAACAACATTACACAATTTTCAAGCAGTACACAGCTTTGGTAAACACATCCTGCTAGGATTTTCTTCCGATGCTAAACTGTCACGCTAATATGTGACGTTCAATTGCAGATGGCTTTGTTAACTTCAACACTGTAGCACTGTATGATGAGGTCTATGGATACCTTATGGCTGCTGTTGTCTTTCTGGCAACCATCCAGTTTCTCAAGCTGTTGCAGTTCAACAAGAAGATGGGAATGTTAGGAGCTACGGTAAGAATCTGTTATTTTGTTATTACTGTTGTTTTAAATATGCTGAAAAACTGTGTTCATATGTTTGTCAATGAAATTTGTGGTGAAAATACTATATATACGAGCGTACTAGCATTTTGAAATTTTCTTAGTCGTCTTTTAGCCTATGCCGTAAGAGTTGGTAGTCATGTCTAGCCACAGCCTTCTGTCTCGGGTATTTTTAATCAGTTCGGAAACAGATGATCTTCCTCATGATGATGCCAACTTGTCTTGCATCCAATTTCTCCTTTTCGCGATGCATTTTCCCCTTCACTTCTGCCACCGTGACTGACTCACTGACTTTCTACCCCACCAGGACATCACACAAGCGATAAACACCCGATGGCACAAAGTGCCACCACGCGGATGAGGATCACCGTGGAGAGGTCCCAGAAACCGCGTTCAGACAATTGGCCATATTTATGGCCTGCCTATATTGCGGCCCCTGACAAAAGCCAGAGTGGGGCTTCAAATAACAAAAAATTACGTGTTAAGAAGGACGTAAGGAATAAATATATATATACGATGCACTCCAGATTTCCCGTTCTCATGATGTAGCCACAGAATGTAGAATATAGATTGTTTTCTTATCTTTTTTTCCCTGTTTCTTAACTTATTTTTTTTTCCTTACGATGTTGTCATCATTATCTATATACCACATCTTTGATCTGTCCACATTATTTTCACCTGTATGCTAAATGGCCATGATTCAGTTTGGTTTATCAGGTTTGGCTATATTTTCCTCTTTAAAAACTAGTTTCCTCCCCTTAGTTGATAAAGAGATATATCCTAGATGTTTTCCCCTGTAAAAAGCTGCCTTGTGCTGAGCTATTCTACATATAACTTCTTTAATACATCTTTCAACAGATGTCAGGATATAAACGTTACTTGCTTCATGCTTGTCTCTCTACTTTGATGTTGCATCTGTGGAGTAGGGAGCATTTTCTGTGTAATGACCATTATTTGTGTTTTCCGGCTTTTAAAAAACTGAGTGAGAGCCAATGACTCACATTCATCTGTTGCCACAGGAAATTTGTGTACACATTATTTAAATATAAATTTTCACTATAACAATCTATTATCAACATACATGTTCACTATTACAATATTTGACCAATATGCCTGCTCAGTGGTATGTTACCACTATTAATATAAATTTTCATTATTACTTACATTTACCAGTTAATCAGTCGTTAGTCAAGGCTCCAAAATCAACGAAGACCGGTCACCCCATAACTGTTAGGTTCCTGTGCCAGTGGAAATCACGTAAAACTTATCTCATTGTTCCGTTTTAAAACTAGTGGAAAATGTGTCAGTCTCAGCAAAATCTTGAAGTCTGCACTCACAAAGTAAAATGAACATGGTAGCTGTCAGATGTGTCAACACTAACGATCGCACGCAAGAATTACAGCTCACTGTTGGCGCAAACAGTCAATCATGAAAGCCGGCATTGCATCCCCAAAAGTACACGCCATTCTGAAAGCAATCGGCCACCCACCATTTTAGTGCAGACAGCACGCCGCGAGCACAACAGATTGACGCATTCTATATGAAATATGCAGCTCACACTTAATATTATAAATGTTCCCTGATACCTACATTGAACAATTTATATGTTAAATTATACTTATCCTGACCATTATACACGTTTACTGTTGACCAGGTCCAAGTGGCAGCCATGGATCTGAGGAACTTCTCTATCATATTCTTTCTCTACTTCCTCGCCTTTACATGCACAGCCTACCTGTTGTTTGGAAGCAGCCTACAAAGCTACCAGAATTTCGTCACGTCTGCTGAGTCCATGTTTGCCTTCGCTCTAGGCAGTTTTGATTATGGGGAACTGACCACAGCCCAGCCATTGTGGGGACCAGTGTTTATCTTCGGGTGAGGGATTAACTAGTCGAATGTCTAACATTAACACCAATGCTTTTCAGGTAATCAAGTAATAATCAAGTAATCACAGTTCCCACTGCAGAGAAAGGGGTAACCCCCATTGTTGAAAATCACACAGATTATTCATCACTGCCCCCTACTTTTTTTATAGATCTAGACGGCGGTCTTGGCAAAGCCAACAGCATACACACGTATTAAATGCATAAGGCAGTTGTCAGAAATAATTTTTTTTAAAGTCCTGTCCTAGAAATGCAGTTCATCATCGATTGAAGCAGCGATTGCAACAGATCAATAGTTGCCCACATTATTATTCGTCTAAGGCACCTCCTGTTCTCTGGCAACAGGCTGTTAGCCGTTTTCTGCACCTGTAGTTTACAGTGCAAACCACGCTGGGTACAGCCGAAATGCATTTCAAATGAAATCACAGTAGCTAAGAGACGGAACTATTTCCTTTCGGTCTATAAATGAAGAAAACTACGACAATCTTTTGTCAGAAGCAAAAACTTACAACCATGAAAAAGAATAATATCGCCTATCCACCATACTGACTATTGCTTTTGTTTTCATAAGCATTCTTGTCAAAGTATTGTGCCAATCACTTGATAAACAGATGCATTTCTATGCTATGAAACCTAACTGTTTAACCTCTCGCTTAACCCCCCACCCCCCCCCCCACCCCAACCCCTCCCCTCCTCACCTCCTCCTTTATTCCTGTTTAAACTGCCTTTCTTCCCCGTATGCAATCTGTTGTAACGACAGTCTTATATTGTAACTTTTTCATGTCGACCCCGAAGAATGTAGATTCTCTGCTTCTAAGGCGAGTATAACATGCTTTGTGAGTGCTTTTTTTTCTCTCTCTTTCTGTCTATATATATCCTAATTACCCTGCAAATTCTTATTGTGTTATCATCATTCTTCAGTCATCAGCATCAATTTCGACTTCTGTCGTTAAGCTGTGTGGGGAGGAACAGTGTGCGATCCATTGCTTGCTAGGCAACAATGGCTGTTGTCATTCCGTGTCTATGTAGAAGCTCTTTAATGTCATCATTCCATGTTCTCCTAGGGCGGCCTCTTGCTTTCACTTCAGAGTTTTTTTGTAGCGCCTGTGTTGGTAGATTTTCTGCTGCATTTTTGCTTAATGACTAAACCATTCGATCTTCTGTTTGTCAGTGAATTTGCTTCATTTTTTTATTCCTACAATCTGTCTGATACTATAATTTCTAAATTTTTCTCGAATGGTTAAGTTTATTTCAGGTGTCTCATTTCACATGTGTTAATTTTACGTAGGTTAGTCTTTGATAATGTCCAAGTCTGGCACTGGCAGCACAGTACTAGTTTCAGTATGCTGTTTATAATCTATTACTGCTCTGCCCGTTGGCATCGTGTTTCTGTTTCTCAGTTTATTCTCCTGTTCTCCGAGAAAGTACTTTTTAGATATTTAAATTCTTCAGTTTGCTTCAGACAAGTACCATTCAGCCCGATATGTCTACAGATATCTTAATTACGCTGCATCTTTTTATTGTTTTCTCCTCGTTCTTTAATAAAACTGCAGATCGACAAATGGTACATAATTTATTGCTAAACTTTTCACCAGGAAATAGTATGTAAAGTAAAGGCGGCTATTGAGAAAATTACCACATCATTCGTTGGGTTGCCAACAGAATAACCCTGCCAATTACTGCCTGTATTTACAACTTTTGCTGCGTAGGATCTATGAGTCTGATGTTTAGGGCGCATGGCTAGGGCTGTCGCCGTGGACTGTGCAGGTTATCATTTTATAGCCCCCCCCCCCTCCCTTTCTCCCGACGGAAAGAAAACATACAACCTACCTTCGGATTTGAACCTGGGTTTCCCGCATGAGACCATTCGGCCTCTTCTAGGTCAGTGGCAGTTGGTTCTAAACAATATGGAGCTGATCGTAAAGACAAACTGGCACTTGGTGAGTGATGTGGTTAGTATTATTAATTTTTTTTTGCCCCGTTAACTTCCTAGGACATTACCTGGCATTCATTGAAGCCTGGGTTTACCTGGGCGCCAAGGTCACTTCTGAAGATACAAAATTCCACCCAGAAGAAAATTCGAACCGAAGATAATCCGGCTAGGAAGTGAGCTTTAGCTGCTATACTAAACAGTCTATCATCTTTATCAGTGCATCCTTACCATGCACCCAACTCAATAGCTAAGCGACGGAACTATATCCGCTCAGTCTATATATAGAGGAAACTACGACAACCACAGGACTGCAGGTAAAACCTGGTTGGTGTAGCTGCTACCGGTGCCCTAATTATAACTTCTTGGTTAGTTTTCACAGGGTGTCTAGGACATGCCTTGTTGGTCTGCCGTTGAGACTAAGATTTTGTTTGAAGTCTCAGGATGGTATGGTTGCAGCCCTGTGGGGGAGGGGGGGGGGGGGTCAGTCGATGAATCGATCTTTATCAGTGATCTATGGCAGATTCTTCTTCTTCTTCTGCCTTTCTAATCTCTAATGTTAAATAGTTCCTAAACAGTAATCATTGTTATGTTTGAATGTGTGATTATTATCATCAACAGTTACATCGGCTTGGTGTACATCTGCCTGATGAACATCTTCGTGGCCATCCTAGGTGAAGCCTTCACACAAGTCAAGGAGGATGTGGCACTTCAGAGCAATGACTACGAGGTCGTGGAGTTTATCATGAAAACCATTAAGAATTTGTTTAAATAAACCCGGCATTTGTTCGTCACCACTGCAACTACTGCATATGTCTGAGAAATTAAATCAAATACGTTGTGCAGAGAATGTTTGAATCATGTAGGATTGTCATTTTGACAACTAGATTACCGCACTCACATGCTTCTGTGTGAATCACTTTTCATAATATCAGTGACAGTTCTAGACATTATTTACTGCATTTGTTCTTTTAGTTCAATTGTCCTGGCCTATTTTCTGTCACGCATTGTTCAACCATTCGGCTTATTAAAAGTATTCGTCTCTTCTGGAGAGTTCTCATTTTTAAATTCGTCTTTCTTACCACTCAACACTTTGAATACGTACACATGGATATTTTAATATTTCACCTTCTTACTTCTGTTTCCATTTTTACGACCTACTCTGCTGTACACCTATATCCACAGAGCCTCATTTTGACTTTCTAATTATTTTTAAACGTGGTGTCTATCATTACAGCAAATTACATATTTGGATCACATATATAAAATCTACATATATTTGCCGTGTCACGCTGTCACATCGTGGACAACATACCTCACGATATGGCTATTTTTTCCCAGTGTTTTGATGTCTTTATTGTTTTTCTAGCTGGCGTAAAACAAATACAGAATAGTGTGAAACTATAAAGATACTGTAGGCATGGTTATAAAAAAAGTGAAAATAAAACTGTAGAGGGTTTCAAAAAATAATAATAAAAATAATAATAATAAAAGCAATTATGGTATTTTGAAACAAAAATATTAAATCGCAAATAGAACTGGCGATCCGTTATCACAGTGTATGAACTATAGAAATGATTGACAGTACACAAGACAGGAGGTCGTGTGCAGACATGACAAAGGTCACAGTGTATGAACTATAGAAATGATTGACAGTACACACGACAGAAGGTCGTGTGCAGACATGATGACAAACTTCACAGTGTATGAACTATAGAAATGAATGTCAGTATACAAGACAGAAAATCGTGTGCAGACATGCTGACAAACTTCACAGTGTATGAACTATAGAAATTATTGACAGTACACGACAGAAGGTCGTGTGCAGACATGATGACAAACTTCACAGTGTATGAACTATAGAAAAGATTGTCAGTATACAAGACAGAAAATCGTGTGCAGACATGCTGACAAACGCAGTGATGCATGAGCAACAGAAGATAAACAATTCACTTTAGGAACATTTAAAAATGAATCTGATTAATATTGTATTGCTAAATGATTATATTAAAAGTGTCTTTCCTATTTCAGGTTCAAAGAATTGGTATTGTTGATTTGTAGAGTTTATTTTCCATTAAAAAAATAATATAAGTGTCCTCAATTTGGATATAAAATTGAAATACTAGAATCCACATGCCATTGTCATTTATAATACAACTGAAGCATTATTTTAGTATGTTTATGTGTTTTCATATTAGACTCACAATTGTTTTTTTATAAATAGTTCTTATTCCTCCTCTTCTATTTCCGTCGTCTTCTTCACAGCTGCCAAAACAGACTGCTGATACTAGTACTACTACCACCACAATTAGTAAAAGCTGTTCTTAAAAAAAATAAAAGCATACCAGTAGCCTGGGGAACTATGTAGTTCCTCATTTGAAGAGAGAAAATCCGAATCGCTTTCAAAGAAGGCCCTTTAGACTTCACATATCCCTCCTAGCGGTCCCAAACAGTCGAAAGCATTCCAGACAGAAAGTTCCTGTGCATGTTCCGGGGCCTCGTTTTGGAGGGAAAAGGAAATTGACCCACAGCCTCACCTACAACAAACGTGACTTAAAAGACTTATTAGGGGTGTTGCTTTCAACATCGGAGTACGTTTATTTGAAGGATGGAACGAACAGTCTGCATTCCAGTAAGCCAGATCTGTAAAATCAGATGTGCGCGCAAAACACACATTCTAGAACAAGACCGAGGTTAAGAAATGGACAAATTATCAGACCTGTCCGCTGGAGTGAATTATATGAAGAAGAGATATGACGTTTGAAGAATTTACGAGGGGGTTTCGAATCAAAATGTTAAAAGTATGCCAGTATCCTGTAAAATGTCAGTATTATTGTTAAGGATGTCATGGGTGTCAATCATACCAAGAGTGTCAGGCACGTAACATTATGGTGCATATCGAAAGCAGGGTGGCGATCTTAACCTAACATTATGACATGGTGTTCGCTTGCAGTCTCTCAGCAGCACTCCCACCTGGTGCCCATTCTTATCCAAGGTGTCATTTAACTTATGTGCCCCTCTTTCCTGTCCCATATATTCTGCTACTATTCTTGCTAATCTGCTGTGGAGCTTAACATGGCAACAACAACTACAATAACAATAAGAAATACACAAACGCAATTCAGTTTCCTAGAAAAACAAAATGCTGTTAACGAATCAATCTTCCTTGCTGTTCATATCTTTTAGAATGTCAGTATTTGTTTTTTTTTTTTTTTTGCTAGATTGTATTCTGAGAATCTTTCTATAGCATTTTAATTCAAAAGCCCTAATTTCTTTCCTAATGACTGCGAAACAGCCGATAACTCACATGTTATGCATATGCATGGTCTCAAAATGTTGACCTTGAATAAATTACGCACTTCTAAAAACAGAATATACTCAATACAGCAGCCATTGGTTTTTATCAACATACCAATAAATCAATAACAAAAGAAAAATTATACTTATACATCTGAATATGTATTCAATAATGCACAGTGGTTCAACATTATTTATTAATGCATATGCAGACTGGTGAGTTAGTAAAAAAGTTAAACAAACAAAAATGTGTTTACATGATTGTGGCATGGGGCTTCTAGGTCTATGTCCGTTTTTTTATAGACAAATCCGCACTCAGTCAATGATGTGGTCAAAATAAACCGGATGTGGACAGCATGACCCATTGAATATAAATAGAAAATATCAAAAGGTGATTCCATCAAAAATATGTATGTAAATTTGACTATTAAACAATGATTCCAAAAAAATTATACACGTAAAAATGACCTCTGTAAAATGAAAGGTCGTATATATTAGTTAGTTATGCTTACTCCAAAAGTGGGTTCGCATTGAATATTAATAGAATATATTAAACATTGATTCAAAAATTTTGAAATTGATAATACTCAGTAGTAAATTATATATATATATATATATATATATATATATATATATATATATATATATATATATATATATATATATATATATATATATGTTTATGCTAAATAGATTTCATATTACATTTTAGAAAGTATCTAACAATGATTTTGGCAAATCATACACATGCATACATCGTCAAAACCTAATGTACATAAAATGAACACCTATGAAATACTGTCGGATACCTGAGAAAAAACACCAACTAAACCACTAGGGACAAGGTGAGAAATAATACTATAAGACAGACTGCAAGAACAACACCATGCACACCAATCTCATTTAGAGTGTATTTCAGGTATAAAGATGGATTGTTCTGGTTTATAATAGAATGATTTTGTTTCCTGCAGTTTGCACCGACACATGCCAGGCTATTAAGAATTAATCAAGTAACAGAAAGTATTGTGAACGGCACTCATAGAAAGAAGTAGAAAGATAGATGAACACACTAGACAACATAAAAATCGAAAGCTATAGTTACCGTGCCGGGAATTGAACCTGTCACCTCCAGACGGCGTCTGCGCCTCGCCATGAATACAAGTGCACTAAGATACATGGCCAACTAGGCACCCCCAAACAAAGGTGTCTCATTGACCATGTCTATCGTACAGCTTGAAATCCACGACTATGGAATACGGACAGAATTCATTTCAACCCATTGAAATGGCACCATAGGTTACAGAAATTTATATTAACGAAGCAAATGTCGAATAACAATCACAGCAACAATTTACGAACATAGTAGACCTTATTGCCTTGTCTAGAATACACGAAGTGCAGACGTAGATGAACAACAAGAACTTTCTGCTGGTGAACGCAAAGAAGAAAAAATAAATACAAGGATGGTAATAACAAAAGTCATAAAAACTCATGCATTTACTGTAGTAGATTCATCTTGGTGCAAGCTGGTCTTCCTAATCACACACGCCAACGCCAAGGGCTGGGATTCGCGTACCTTCTTACAAAACATTCAATAGAAAACAAAGACGTCAACAAATTCACGCTTTGCCAGCCAAGGTACTAACATAATGGATCCACAACCGTAATTAGCTCACACAGACGTCTGTGCCAAATGTGGGGGAGAATTGACTTTTTCCACAGGAGCTGTCAATAGTTCACAACTAGCGTCACTTATTTCATGGCTAATTCCACTGTCTTCGTGGAAGGAGTACATGAATTCTGACAGACAGATGCTACCACTGTCACTGCTGCTACAATCTTGGATTTCATCACAAATCTCTACTATAACTTCTAAAGGGTGTTTATACGGATCAACTGTGTCAGCTCCACTCACAGGATTGATGGTATTGCGATAGTTAGCTGCTTCCATTGAATCCGTACTGACACGTTCCGGGACACATTGGTACAAACGCGGGCTCAAACAAAAGCCTTTATATCTTGGAGATGGGTCTTTGGGTTCTAAATCGAGTCCTGAAAATGACGTTTCTTCTTCTACCTCTAAGTCAGGATCAAAAGATACCCTCCGTGTACTTCTCGATTTTAAGAACCTATCATGATTGCCAAAGAGAGCGTTATCATTATTTCCTAAACTTTTCCTGATAATTTTATTGAAAGTTGCCGCATTTGGAGTTGCACATTTCACCCCTTCAATTTTCATCAAAGCATTCATTGTCTTTATTATTTTATCAAGTTTGGCGTCTATGAGAGAAATGTTTTTATTGAATGTCTCTTCGCTACCACAGTCCGGGTGGCGGTTCATTTGCCTGGTTCTGCGAAGGATTCTGTTTTGTTCACTTGGAATTGGTGTCGTCTGTTCACTATGTGGTGTCTTGGGATTCTTTGGTTTATTTGAAGAAGTCAATGTCTTGTCACATAATGGTGCACTGGGAGTTTTCTGTCTATTTGATGACGCCGAAGAGGGTGTCTGTTCACCAGATGGAGCAGTGGGAGTTATCTGTTTATCTGATGACGAAGAACGGCGGGTCTTTTTATAAAGTGGTGTAGTGGGAGTTTTCTGTCTATTTGATGATGACGTAATGACCATCAGTTTACCTGATGGAGCAGTGGGAGACATCTGTCTGTCTGATGACGAAGAACGGGTGGTCTTTTCCCTTGGTGGTGCTGTCTGAGTTTTCTCTCTATTCAATAACGCCACACAGGGCGTCTGTTCACCACATGAACCAGTGGAAGTCATCTGTCTGTCTGATGAAGAAGGACCGGCTGTCTTTTCACTTGGTGGCTCAGTGGGTGTTTTCTGTCTATCTGACGACGCCACAGAGGGTGTCTGTTCACCAGGTGGAGCAGTGGGAGTCATCTGTCTGTTTGATAACAAAGAACTGGTGGTATTTTCAGCAGGTGGGGTTGTCGCAGTTGCTTGGTTATTTAATGACGACACAGAGGTCATCAGTTCACCAGGTGGGACTGTGGCAGTACCCTGCCTAGTAAATGAAGTCACAGGGGTCATCAGGTCACCGGATGGTCCCGTTGGAGGCATTTGTCCACTTGGTCCACTTGGCTGTGCCCAAAGCTTTCTTACGCTAGCGGGTTCTGATTCTGAAACTGAAAATTATTGAATATTATGCGCATAAGGGGTCACTACACCCAAAATATTTTCTTTTAATTAACAGTGTTAGAGCAATTTTTTTACAATGGTCATTTGTAGGGATACATGTTATTACATTTGCATACTTTAAGTTAAAAAGAAATCATGGCATAACTGGGGAAGTCCCTGAGAGCATGGGTTTCACAGAGATATGGTGAAACGACAGGAAAGAGTGTGTCACGTGTGAATGAGGAGATCTGGGGGATTGAGAATCAGGCGGACAAAGAACGCGAACGTGAGCTTAAAGAAGCACATCATTACAGATGTCATGGCAATAACCGCTGCCTTGGGAAAAAAATTACATGTACTCAGAATCCTAAAATGCCACAAAAAAACTTAAGTATCAAACAATAAATGATAGATTCTTGACCTTTAGTCCTATTTAAAGATACAAGTGTAGTTTATTTACTTCAAACATGTTTTTAAATTTGTTTCGTAGATTTTTAAATAGAAGATTTATTTAAAAAAGTCAAAAAAATCTAGCATCATAAGAAAATAATCACATTTCAAAAAACATAAACTTTCAAAAATCGACATTTAAATAAACCAGTTTCTATAATAGTGTTTAAGGAGTATCCATACCAAATTTCATATTTCTAGTCTTTATATTAGTTGAGATTTTAGGATTTCACACACACAACAAACATAAACTTAGAGATGTGAGAAAACTGACTTTTAAACTTTTTTAATCTTAAACAATTGCATTGGTTGGTGTCTTTAGTATAACTGTTCAATGCTAAATTGTTTACAAATGACATAAATGTTGTGTGTAATCTGTTCCACGAATGCCGAACTTTACAAAAACAAACCTATTGAAATATGCCGTGTAGTGACCCCTTTGAAAGGTTTCATCACTCTCTAAAAGGGTTTTGTGTTAGACCCAGTTTGTCAATGTTTTTGGAGTGTTGAAAGCGCTGGAATGCTGAAATATAGAACATGCGACATAAATGACATTGAGGAACACCCCCTAACCTTTGGCTAAGACGCGTGGCTCAAGGGCGACCAATCAGAAGTGAGGTAGTTTGTAGCACTACTACAGTAAATGGGGAGAACTAACTTTACTTTTACCCATCTGTCAGATGATAAGATAAAGAATGAGTACTTACTGAGGCCAGCCTTGCGCACAGCGGCCCAGACAGCACGAAAAGGACCATATCTCCACATGTAGAAAGTCGTTGCAGAGACGATGTATTCGATAAGCTCGTAATCGCTCGGCTGGTTGTTGATGTCTTCCCTGACTTGAGCGAACGAGTCCATTAGGATAGACACAAGCATGTTCAGAAGGATGAACACAATGAACAACGTGTACAGAAAGATGAAGGCTGGGGTCAGGACACGGCTGACGTCATTCATCAGCTGTGGAAGAGACCGTTAATGTCAGTTGCTGAGGTTCAGTTTGATAGCTTAAGGCACGACATTTGGGGCCCAATAAGCAGACGGTGAAAGTAAGTAAAGAGACCTTTTAAAGCAATAGGCGAGTTGGCCATATGGGAAGAGCACTCCATATTTTTACAGACCAATCGGCACTAGGTGGGTAATGTGGTAAGCATTACTCCGGCCGTCTTTACTTTCCTAGGACATCCATTTTGGTACCCAGTTTAGGCTGGTTCGACCTGCGACGCCTCATACGATGATAAAAAATCTACGCAGCCAGCAGTGGGTTTCGATTGCAGTACGTTGGAATTACGAGTCTGACTCACAACGCCTGAGCCACGGATGCCACATAAGGAGGCGGTAGGAAGTAAAAAGCATTTATCCACGCTCTCAGGCGTATTGGGTATACAGGGCTAGACCTATATTTCATAAACCAAACGGCATTTAGCGGGTGATGGGGTAAGCATCAAGCTGGCTGCCTTTACTTCCCAGTACCTAGTACCCATTCAAGGCTGGGCCAAACTTGGGAGCCAAAGTCATTTATGAAAAAAATTCTCTTCCCTATCAGGACCCGAACCCACGACCTTCCGATCTGCAGGCGAGCCTCCAGCAGCTAGGACGGTATGAAATACTTGAGGAAAATCTAGACACACAATAATAAAAGTAAATGAAACAAAGAGACATAAATGGAGGGGAAACAATCAACCCGCTAATCAACACCATATACCAATGACTAATTAACTCAAGACAGGTGTCTGGGGCTTAGTGGATGTCCATGCGATTTGCAATCCCAAAGTACTATTCCCACTGCTGCCGATTTGGCAGCAAACCATTTTGTGCTGATTAGTACAATGGTATATACCGCTGGCCGTTCAGAGAGCAACTGCAAACTACTGAATGAAAACCGACTATAAAAAAAAAAGGTCAGTAGGTTGTGGGGTTGATACTGCAAAATTGTGTAAATGGTTAACTCAGATGAGGTCAGCATTCAATTTGTATACGTATAATGAGGGCTCCTGCACATACACGAATAACTTAATTTTGGTTGAATTCCTAGTTGTAGTTTGTTTTAATCCGGGTATTCTTTATGCCAGTGTAACAGCAGTAACCCATGCACTTCAAATATCAATACTAGCCTGGGATTAAATCACCAACAGAGTTGAGTTCCTAATTGTAGTTTGTTTTTATTCAGGAATTCTTTACGTCAGTGTAACAGCAGTAACCCATGCACTTCCAATATCAATACTAGCCTGCGACTAAATCCCCAACAGAATTGTACTGGTCAGACAGAAATGTGATTTCTATCGGAGACATGCAAGTAAAGAGGATTTCATCTATTCTTGTTCGTATTTATGGTACGTCAGATTTATTTAATGTGCTGATGAAGACTCTCTAGTCGCAGCGTTCGATTGTCGTTTGCGTTTGTGATATTACGAAGCTGTCTAGTTCTATTTTTCATTTGGTTTGATATTATGCCCTGATACGTAGTCTTCTTTTTTCTTTACATCCTCTTTTACCGCTACGGATGTCGATGGAGATATAAGGTCTTTTTTCATGTTCTTCTGGCTGCTTTGACCATAGACACATCGTGGTGCTGTAGTTTCTCTGATGTTATCTGTCCATAATGTTCTTTGTCTGCCTCTTGATCTGTGGCTCTCTCCTCATTTGGTATATGCCTTATATGGTATAGCATCAAAAGGCATCTCTCCAAGTGAGCTAACAATTTAATCTGCTGTCTGTATGAAAATTAGAATTTGTTTCGTGCTGACTTTATCTCAATTCCTGATTTCATCTCTTCTGCGCACTCATATTTGTCTTTCTTAGACACCTCATTTCCAAGGTTGCTAATTTTCGTTTATGCTTTGTTGTGAGTGACCACGTCAGGCACTGATAGCATAGGGTGGAAAATATAATAATATATAGTCATTAGTCCCCAATTTCCACAACTATTATCCAAAGAACTCAAAAAAATATAAGCAACAAAAACATCAATTGCAATCGCAGGGAATATCCCCCTTTGGGTTCAGATGTCCCATTTGATGAGAAAAACAATAGACCCATTGTCCCTAGAAAAGATGTCGTAGGAGGCAGCTAATTATGTGTATTTCATTCAGCTAAGAGACAGGGAAACAACAGTCTTCATAGAAATAAGCCAGATGTGTCAAACAGACGTGCACGCAAAACTCAAAAGACCAAAATCCAGAGGTGGACTAAGAGCCATATCTTTTCGCTGGAGATTTGTTTATTCGTTTATTCAGATGATCAATATCACGGCACACCGGTGTAAACTATAAGTTTTCCGCTCTTCTTCCAACTCAAGCCTAAGTCATAAGAATCTCAGTGCAGTGTGCACAAACTCTGTAGCACCGGCGAAGATCCTTGAATACTTTGGGTAATTCCTTTAACTCTAAATTGTGCCCAAGCAGCACCGTTGGGCTACTATTTTCGACTTCCAACTGGCAAGGGATTTTTTTACATGCGCAACAATACACATCGGCCTCCGGTCCTACTATACAGAGACCAGGGAAAAATTACTTAAAGTCCACGTAAAAATATCCCAGCCTTCACCGGGGCTTGAACCCAGGACCTTTAGTACTCGAGGCAGACACCATGTCTCGAGACCATACAGCCCCCTCGCTGGAGGTTACAGGTGGTAAATACTAAAAACAGGTAGCAGCAGTAACAACAGCAATAACCTGATATTCCAGCTTTCCTAAGCTTAAAAGTAGCAGGGATTCAAAGGCGTCCACTGTCGTTCTGTAGGATTTCATGAAGGTTCCAAATGTAACATAACTGAAAAGCAGAAAAAGGCGTATAACTCTTAGAATTAGGAAAACTGCATTAGAAGGCAGTGAACGCCTGCGTCCTGGCCGAACGGTTACAACGCTGGGGTCTTATAGGGTTTGAATCCTCATAAAATTTAGAGATATTTCACTGTCTAGGGCAAAAGTAAAATCAAAACCTGCACAGTGCGTGGCGACAGCATTAACCAAGTTGCCCTAATTAAAACCTCAGGCTAAAAAAAAACCAAACCTGATTACATTGCAAAAGTGGCAAATACAGACAGCAATGACAGTATGGCAGAAATATTTCGTCTTTAAATTGTGAATGCCTGAAGCCATACTGGTCAAACCACTAACTATATTATCATCATCACTGCCCTGTTGTGCCATTTTGTGTCAAATAGTAAGTAAAACAAAGAAAAGTAAATGTTCCCTTTCCTTACGTTTAGGCGTATAGGGCATGTCGGGATAGATCTATATTTTTATAGACCAATCTGCACAAGATGTATGACGTGGTCAGCATCACACCGACAGCCTTTACTTCCCGGAACTGCACCCAGTACCCACTCAAGGCTGCGTCGACCTGGAAATCAAGGGGAGCGAACCCACGACCTTCCGTTCCGCACGCGAGCGCCTAGCCGCTACGCCACGGCGACTTCCGTGTCAACTAGTGCTCGCAGTCTATTTATTCATACCGTTCTATCCGATGCAATAGATTGGATATCCTGGGTGGAATTCCAGTAGAGCACCACTGGCCTTATCAACGTCCGTTTAGGGTTTCAATTGGATGTCTTTGCTTCCTCTGTCCCTTTATTTCCCATTGTAGCGCCTATTTGGTGATTCTCCGCTGGTTTCTTCTAAAGATGGGTCTTCGTTGTCTTACCACTGTTGTCACATGTGGTTGCCCAGACATTTATCATATTCCTTTACCCCTCTTGAATTCATGTCATTTTAGGCCATCTTCTATTTATTGAAAAGACATAAAGCTTTCAAAAACTACACATTATTCATCTTATTGAGCCAATTATACATCACGTAGGTATTGCAGACGATTCCTCCCTTCTGATCTATTATGTGGAATCATTTTGATATTCTGTATGGAATCCAAACCGGCTCCTGGAATTTCTCATCAACGTTCCTTGTTTGATTTCTATTGGTCGTCCTCGTTTCCTAAGTCCATCTGTTTTCCCCGTTTTAGTTTATAATGTGTGATTCTTTGCTCTTTTGTTCTCAGGATGTTACCAACATGAAGATGTTTTTATTATTATTATTATTTTAATTTCTAATAACTAATGGGCATTTCTATGATTTCTTCGCCTGTCTTGAACACATCACATTTAATGATTATAATGATTTCTAAAGCTACTTGCTTATTCATGCGTTTGTTTTCATTTTTATTTTGTTAAACTTTATCTAGCATAAGTTAAAAGGAAAGTCATGTAAGCATTGAAAAAAAAAAAATTAACCATGTTTTAAACTGTGTAGAATGGAGCTTCATATTTTATTGAGGATTATAAACACCAATGGTTCCTTGACAGTATGTTTCGTAATGTCTTGATTGTATTTCACTGGAATCGAAATTACGGCTCTCCTGTCAACTACGGCCGGTAGACAACAGTAGACGGCCGGTTAGTCGGAGTTCTGTCCCTTGGCTACAGTGCAATTACGGAGTGGAAAAGGAGGAGACGAAACAATTGACACAATTACTGTGTGTTGGCGATAGACAGCGTGCACTGCCCTGCTATAATCATATGGTTACGGTTTGGGTTAGGGTTTGGGTTAGGGTTAGAGTTAAGGTTTGGGTTAGGGTTTGGGTTAGGATTAGGGTTTGGGTTAGCATTGCGGTTAGTGTCGCCGCATCTCGTCTTCGCAGAAACTCAAGGTAGCAACCCAAACCCAAACCGTAGCCCTAAACCCTACCCCTTACCCTAACCACACCCTAACCCAAACCCGCACCCTAACCGTATGATGACAGTAGGGCACTGCACGCTGTCTATCGCCAACACACAGTAATGTCACTTGTTTCCTTCCCTCTAATCCACTCCGTAAGACGCGGTAATTGAACGCGATCGCTACCTTGAGTGGCAGCGCGGGTATTTCGACCTCACTTTGTTTTTTTATTCGTGCCTTCTCCAGTCCGTAATTGCACTGCAGTCAGGGGACAGAACTCGGACTAACCGGCCGTCAACTGTTGTCTACCGGCCGTAGTAGGAGAGCCGAAATTACTACTTAAATGCTTCGAGTATCTGTTACTTTATATAATATTTTTTGTCTCCAAGGTGAAATCGTGGGATATGGTGGACGTCTTCAGTATATTTGTCTTTTCACAACTGATCATCTGTAGTTCGACGTCTAATGCTTTAGTTTTCTTGGTCAATCCTGTATTTGTCTTTGCTTATCATTGTTATTTTTACTTAACGGCACCTTCTGAAAGATCATTTGTTGTGCCGAAAAACAACATCAATATAATACAAGCCTGTTTAACTCAAGATTCGGCTGCAATCTACTCAGTTAAAAAACAAAACTATAATTAAACGGGGAAATGTTACATTTATAGTTTATTGTGAAAGAAATGTTAATTTGATTGCATAAAGTAATAATATAGTAATTTAAAAGCTGTGAAATATAACAATGTCCACACTATACAAAATTGTCTTTTGCAAAAAGTTGTTCATAGAATCTAGTATTTCCATTTCTAATCATGTTCTCCTTGCTAATACTGTCGTTGCAGGTGTCAAACAGTTTTCATAAAATACACATCTGTTTTACTCCAGAAGTAGCAGAATGGTTTCAATGTTTACTGGTCTGTTCTTACTATGCTCTACAAACTACATGCAACAATAGGAAAGAAGCAATCAGTGTTCTTGGGTCATGAAATGAAAAAGAGAGGCATTGAAAAACATAATGATGACTGGAAAGATCAATGGCAGAAGATCCAGAGAAAGATCTAGAGAAGTGATGCTTGACGGCTTGAAGCGATGGAATATAGAAATATGACTGGAATTGGCCATATTATGTTTCTATCCGCCATATGGAATGCCTTCTCTTGATGACCTAACATGGCAAATAAATAAAAATGAGGACAAACACGCACAAATTACCTGAAGCACAAGAAAGCAAACAGCATTACAATGAAGACCAGCATGAATGACAGAAGGTCCCGAGCTGATCTCATCATAGTAGCACCCAGCACCGACATTCGCTTGTTGAACCTCAACAGGTTGAGGATCTGGAGTGTAGCCATGAAACAGACGAATGCTACCAGGAAACCAAAGAGTTCATCCCAAATGGCCAGCGTCTGGAAGTTGTAGAACTGTCCTATGTGCCACAGAAAAGTGAATATTTTATCTTTTTTTTTGTAACACTTTGTAAAGTACACATTTTACGCCAGTTGCTATCTGGCAGATGATGTTTGTATGTATGTAAGTTGTACACCACCAAAACATCACAAAGCGATAAACACCCAGTGACACAAAGCGCCACCATGCGGATCACCCGTGGAGAGGTATCAGAAATCCTGTTCAGCCATTTAGCCATATTTACGGCCTGGCTTTATTCAAGGCCCCCGGCAAAAGCCATGGTGGGGCTTCACATAACGAAAAATTGCATCCCACATAGGGATGGCACAGTTAATGCTGAGATATGACAGACATGTACTTTTTTAGACCGTCAGATGGTGGGGGATGTGGTCAAAATCACGTAGCCCGCTGTTACTTTTCAAGAAATTAATCGGAACTCTTCTAGCCTGAGTCGGCATGGCAACCAGGGTCAAGTTTGAAAATATAAGTTTAGACTGGGATCAGTGGACACCTATGGGATGCCCGCTGCTGCTATCAGGGGCATCACAGTGCAGAGCCTTCACCTGCACTGTGTGCCTGCCTGCCTCTCTATCGATCTACCTACCTACTTGCCTGTCTATCGATGTATCTGCCTGTCCGTGCGTGCGTGCGTGCATCCGTCTGTCCGTTCGGATAAAGATGTCTGTCTGTCCGTCCGTCCGTCCGTCCGTCCGGTCGGTCGGTCGGTCGGTCGGTCGGTCGGTCGGTCGGTCGGTCGGTCGGTCGGTCGGTCGGTCGGTCGGTCGGTCGGTCGGTCGGTCGGTCGGTCGGTCGGTCGGTCGGTCGGTCGGTCGGTCGGTCGGTCGGTCGGTCGGTCGGTCGGTCTGTCGGTCTGTCGGTCTGTCGGTCTGTCGGTCTGTCGGTCTGTCGGTCTGTCGGTCTGTCTGTCTGTCTGTCTGTCTGTCTGTCGGTCTGTCGGTCTGTCTGTCTGTCTGTCTGTCGGTCTGTGTGTCTGTCTGTCACAGTCTATCTGTCACAGTCTATGCAATGTGGCGTTGGTAGTCATGTCTTTCCGCAGTATTCTATCTCGTATACTGTACCTAAAATAAATTCTGTCACATGATCTTCCATAATATGATGTAAATCTCCCCAGCATCTTCTCTCTCTCTCTCTCTCTCTCTATATATATATATATATATATATATATATATATATATATATATATATAGATATATATATATATATATATATATATATATATATATATATATATATATATATGTATGCGTAATGCTAACCACATAATCCAACAAGTGCTGATTGGTCTATAGAATATAGGTCTATATATAAAAATATATTTCTCTCTCTCTCTCTCTCTCTCTCTCTCTCTCTCTCTCTCTCTCTCTCTCTCTCTCTCTGGATTTCAATATGAAATACTTGAAATGCTCTGAGAATTAAAAGATTGTATCAACTTAAGTTTGCAAATTACTTTCTTGCGCTACATGGTTGTGTGTCGATGTTCCAGGCTGCCAGAAAAGCAACAACCAGAATCTGACATCTTTATTGACACCCACAGCGTTAACAGAACAGAAGAAGCGGAAGACTATGTAGGCGTTATTGTATAGCAAAGGATGCCAGACTTAACTTCCGAGCTTGTGGTCGTGGATCAGAATCCGCATCGGGCGAATTTTTAAAACTGACCTTGACTCTCAGAATGACACATGCGAAAGATATAGACCCGGAAATGACCTGGTAATTAAGGGTGGTTGGTGTATTATTCAAAAAAATCATGGAATACATGGCGAGTAATGTATTTTTAGAAGCCCTGGATGGTCTAGCCAATTGGATGATTTGAGACAAACACATTGAACTAATCCGGGATTCTAGGAATCGTGTGAGATGGCGAAATATGACAGCATACGCGTATCGGCATGACACATGATGATGACGAGAAGTCTTAGTAAAGCTATTGCTGGCAGGCTTGTCTTAGACTTGTCGCGTCCACACTGGAGTGGTGGAATTTTTACACTAACCCGGCCTCCAAGGTGGACCAAGCATGCAAAGGTGTTATTTTTACATCACCCATCAGGTGTCATTTTCTTTTTTTGGGGGGTTCTTTATTAATATCCTACCCCAGACGACGTCACAAGAAAGTCCAACATTTTAGAATGTGGTGAGACTGGGTTTTCCAGCTTTCTGAAGCTTTTAACAACCTTAAAACATCTAGAACTGGCCCTAACCCCAAACCACCTATGTCCCACAAGAGAGTGCAGCCTAGTGTCAGAGGCTATGGGATGAACGGAGTTGATGATAGTGAATCATCACGTATGAAGGAGTTGACCTTCAGTAAAGCTCAGTGGGAGACCGGGCAATTTGACCACGGAATAAACTGGGTTGACTTAACTGGCTACGGATAACGTTTCGGATAAGGACTGCCAACTTAGTTGAGGTGTCTCAGTTGAGGTGTCTCTAGCTGTATTGTTTATTGTACATTAAAGATTATGTTTGTACTCAGCAGGTGCGTGTCTTGAGTGTGTCCAGGGTGGTGAAATTTGTTAGCTGGCCTACCAAGCAAGCAATAGAAAATGATTATAGTAAATTAGGTAGCTGACACCTAGGTCCCACGAATGCATGCAGCCTAGGTCCCACGAATGCATGCAGCCTATCTACCACCCCCTGAAATTTTAGACTGCCCCGTGACCTGTGGATTTCTCTGTTTGGAGTAGGATATTAATAAAGCACCAACAGTTTAGGCAACATCATATGCCAAATAACCTCAGAAATTGAAAGTGGTCCATTATTTTATTTACAGGTTGGAACCTATCTACTCGCCTGCCTCATTGCATGTTTTTCTGACGTTCTGTGTAAGCGTTTGTGCGCCTGCTTGCTCTAACAATCTGTCTGAATGTCTTTCGATCCTTCTGTACGTGCTTTTATCTTACCATCCTTTTCACCCTCCATGCGTCTACACCCACCCCCCTCCCCCCATTTTTTTTCTTCTCCTGAACATAACCTCTTTTTTTTTTATGCCGTCTCTCTGGAGGCCTGTCAATTCGTCCCACCGTCTGACAGTGTTATAGTATTCTATTTAGAGGTGTGGAAACCAAATCAGTTGTACAAAGCCTAGGCAGTGCTGTAGAGACCATGTGTTGCCACACAGCATGATCTATCGGCGTAATTTGTACAAAAAGTAAATGAAAGACAATTTTCCAGGCCTCCAAGCGTATTGGGCATATAAGGATAGATTAATGGGCACTTAGGGGGTGATGCGGTCAACATCACGCCGGGCGCCTTGACTTCCCATGACTCTACCGGTTACCCACTTAATTAAGGCTGGGTCAACTTGGGAGTCAAGCTCATTTTTACAAATGTTTGTCACCGCCAGGAAAAGACTTTTTTTTTTTTTAAACTTAAAAAAATGTAACACTAACACGTTTGGAGAAAAACGAGCTGCATAGGCTATCAGATCAGATGAGCATGTTCATGCCTATCCGTATTTCGGAGTTTTCCTCTTAACCAGCTGTCAACAATGTACAATGACTTACGATTGTCCCCCTAACTCACCACATAGGCTACATACGGAACACTTTATATTTAAGCTACTCACCTGTAGTTTTGAAAGCTTCTTTGGACACATCTTCGCTGATTATATATCGACCAACATGCAGAATAACTGCACTGACAGAGCAAAGGAGGTTGATCAGTTCTATGATGTTCCAGAACTTCTTAAAAAACTGAAGACGTTCATGGCACAGTTTGTCTGCTTGTCTGAGTACAAACCACACAGTCACGGCGTAGACGAGGTAGTCAAAGATCATGTGTAAGATGGGAAAGTTGCCGAGGTAAATAAATAATCTGTTGAAAAATCCAGACATATCAACATAGAGGCATAAAGGCATACAACAATACAAACATGTAAGCTTGCACAGACAGACACATAGACTGACAAAGGGACAGTGAAAAAAAAAGGTAGATAACATTCAGGAGAAAGGGTGTGCACGCATGGAGGTTCAATCAGAAGGATGGTCAGATGGAAGGAGGGACGCACGGATGGAGACACCTTCAGACGTGTAGTCACAGCAAGCAGGCAGGCACATATTTAGAAATATAGAAATACATGTAGGCAGGCAGATAAGTTGGTAGGAGAGAGAGAGAGAGAGAGAGAGAGAGAGAGAGAGAGAGAGAGAGAGAGAGAGAGAGAGAGAGAGAGAGAGAGAGAAGAAAGAAAGAGAGAGAGAGAGAGAGAGAGAGAGAGAGAGAGAGAGAGAGAGAGAGAGAGAGAGCTGCATTATTTCCCTAACTACATTCAACTGAAGGTTAAAAACAACACAATAAAGAGAGTTGCCATGGTATCGCGGCTAGATGCTCGACTGCGGCTCGGAAAGTCGTGAGTTCGGGTTTTTTTTTGTCTTTAATGGTCTTGACTCTTAGGTCGACCCTGCCTTGAATGTGTACCAGGTGGATTTTTGTGAAGTAAAGGCGACCGGCGTAATGTTAACCACATAACCCAACAAGTGCTGATTGATCTATAGAATATAGGTCTAGCCCAATGGGCCTGAAGACGCAGACAATAGTCATTTATTTGTTTTAAATAAATAAATCGTATAACATGTGCATGCAGAAGCAAAGCCCATTCCGCACTAACTTCATTTTAATTATCTTCCAAACAATTATGCCCAATCCATCATTCTCACAAAGACTCATTTCAGTTTACCTGAAAGGATGAATGTGAAGATATCCCATGACAACCTCTGCTTGCGGAAACTCAAACACTGCAGTGATCTTGGCAAACATGTTGACGTTTGGTGAGTATAAAGTTAGTTCTACAAGCACAATCCTGGTTCTGTTATCTACCCAGTTGCTGCTTTGTAAATCTGTCAGCATGGAGACGGTTTCATTTCTGGGCCCATCGAAATCAACGACATATCCTCCAGGCGGGTATAAGCCTAAGTTGCCGGTGATTGGCAGGCCACCTATGTCAGACCAGGTGCGATAGATCCAAGCCGAGCTGTAGACATGAATAAAGTGTCAAAAGGTATGAAATAAATTAAGTTAGTTAGTTAGTTAGTTAGATTACCCTCACTACGCATCGGACAAACCCATAAGCGCTCGGATCCCATCTTCAGTATTTGCCTCGGCGTGTGGCGACTGATAAAACCAGTTGTGTTGGTTTACTATTCTTCTTTGGCTGCCTGTATAATGTTCATGTTTGGCGACACCTTTATTAACCTAAAATATTGTGAGTGTTGTCTTCTCAACGTCGTCTCCGGAATCATGATCTCGTTCTGCCTCCTTGAGAGCACTGATAATGTCGGCCCCGTCCACTGTACTTACCATAGCCCTGCTAGCAAGCCAGTCCGCATGCTCATGGAATCGCTTAGAAAGCACGCGTGCGAAAAATTCTGTGTCTCTAGCCACATCATTGCTTTTGTTGCCGTTATCACCTTCATACTCAGACTACTCGTAGTCTAGGCAAAAGCTCCTTATCTTCTTTTACAGTTTTCTTTGAACCAAAACCGTGAAAGCTCATGACTTTGTACATGTCGAACGATAGATCCGTCAGCGTCATAAGGTATATTCAAGCTAAAATGTGGATATACATAAAATGTCAGCTAAGACGGCTAAACTGAGCTGAATGCCAAGCTGTTGATGTGAATGAAAAAGCAAGATATCCAACCTCTGAAAGGTGCAGATATCCAACCTATCTAACCCACAACACAACGTGCCAACCACCCTGTTAGGCGAAAGCAGAAGAAGTATATAAGTAAGTAAAGTAAAGGACCCTTTTCACGCCTTTAGGCGTATAGGGCATATAGGGCTAGAACTATTTTATAGACCAACGGCACAAGATGGGTGATATAGTCAGCATCACGCCTACGAAGAAGTATATATGGAGATAAAACGTGAATATGTATAAAGTGGCAGATGAAATGTGCCCACCAAACTGTAGACATTAATAAAGTGTACAAAGACACATCTAGAATATATAATCCTCTGATGAAGTGAAGCAGTTGTCACAATTAATTGATAGGGGGAAACTAAGTATAGCAAGAGATACTGTCCTTCACCTTCAAGACAAATATAAGGATATTACAATAGCCAAGAGCTATTCAAATATCTGATACAGCAGGCAACTTTTGCATATACACTATTTTTGTCCCAGGTAATGCTGATGTGAAAGGCAGTGAGAGAGCAGACAACCTGGTTGGCAGTGTGACTATCAGGAATGGGCCATCAATGCTTCATGTTGTAAGGCTAACACTTGGAGACATACTCAGGAGGAGATCGGAGCACTTATGGGCACGTCCGATGTGCAATGAAGATGATTTTCAACGAACTATAAATAATTGAAATATTTAACAGTAAATTCCATAACCGAATAATTGTCCGTGTAAACAAGATTACAGCGTACTTAATAATCTCACCCTTCGCAATCAAAGGATGTAGAGCGCAATAAGATCCTGCCTAGCAAGTAAAGATGGTCAGTGTGATGCTGACCACATCACACATCGAGTGACCATCGGTCAGTAAAAGTATAGGACTTGCGTTAAATCCCAGGTGTGCTAAATATATAAACGGAATCTTTACTGTCTTATTCACCAATAGGATAGTAGTGAGGTAACTCACTGGCTTAGCAATGCGGTCGTCCTAGATTTACACCCATAAATAGACGACTGATTAGTCTATAAAATATGTACGGCTAGGCCTACATACCCAATATGCCTTAAAGCTTGGAAAAGCGTCCTTTTTTTTCAAACTACTAGCTGTAAAGGCATTGAAAACATCCTTATAATAGTATGACTAAAATGGCCTCCTTTGCTGAGTCAGAGTGATCCAAGAGACAAAGGGGGACATACACACTCATGGAAAAAAGAATAATAGATGGCGATGAAGATTGTGCAGAAGATATGAAGAGAACTGCAAAAGATGACAAGGTAGGTTGACAGCATGCATTGGTTAACAATCTGTGCCCCAATGAGCAGAATTGAAAAAACAAAAGTAACAACCCTATATATTTCTGACAGCTCATAATTCTTATCCTTTAAGTAAATTAATTAATGTTTGTTATATAACCAGATCACATGTCCTTCCCCACTAAAAAGCCAAACTATTTAACGTTTCTCTTGGCTTTCCCTGCAACTTTTCTCTAAATACTCAATTTTACATATACTTCTAATATCCCCTTTTTTATGCAATGATGTTATAAGGTAAACTATACTTTTTTTTTGAGAGAGAGAGAGAGAGAGAGAGAGAGAGAGAGAGAGAGAGAGAGAGAGAGAGAGAGAGAGAGAGAGAGAGAGAAATGGCGGAATGAAGATAACATTTTCTACCATAATTGCGTAATCTAGCGCTATTAGGAATTAGATTTTTTTTAAGCTAGAGAGGCTTCTACCATAAGACTGTCTTTAAAAAATGAATATAATCCTATTTTAACCTGATATTCTGTAGAGACTCATGCATATCATCTGTGTGAGCTGCATTAGAAGATCCTTGCTTGTGGTCAGCCTCCGGTTTCTTGCCAGCCCCCTGTGTTCTACAAGCCTCAGGGATCTTCTCCACCTCCTGCGTTTGGTCAGTCTTCCGAAAGTCTGTGGTCCAGTTTGTGCCATAATCTTCCCAATCTCTGCCTGCTGCTGACCAGGGTGGCGAGCACCGAACGGCTAACTGTTTCATCACACTGTGAAGTGAGCACGTCTCTGGAAAATATATCAGGTATAAGTTAGACTAAAGATTGGCTAGTCCCGAGATGTTTGTTCTGATTAGTATGGCTTTGGGGTTGATTTAGATCCCTGTTCACGCCTTTAAGCGCATCGGGCATGTGGGAGGAGCACCCATATTTTTTAATAACTGGGTAATTTGGTCAGCATTGCGTCGGCCGTCTTTACTTCCCAAGTACATACATTCTGGTACCCATTTTAGGCTGGGTCGACCTGCGAGACCCCATACCATGGTTAAAATCCACGCAGTGAGCAGTATGTTTAGATCGCGGTACTTTGAAATTATGAGTCAGACTCGCAACACCTAAGCCACGGACGCAGCTTGTGGTTGATTTAGCATCATAAAAAATGGCCACCATACTTGTTTTTCAGAATCTTTGGGGAATTGCCTGGAAAAGAAATGCATGGGGCTAGAAATGGAAACAGCCACACTTCTCGCAGAAATGTATGTAGTATCTGCTATCATATTTTTGTTATCTTGAAGAAAATAAGCAAACTTCTCAGAAGCATTGTTACAAATAACTTGACAAGTCAATTATTACACTGTTAACTCAGGTCTGAGTTCGAATAAGCTCAGCACAGTGCACAGGCTCTCTAGCACCGGTGAGAATCTGGAAAACTTTGGGTAGATGTTTTAAATCTAACTTTTGCCCGGGCAACCACGTTAGGCTAGTCTTTTCGATTTATAACTGCAAAGGGAGTGTTTTTTTACGTGCGCAACAATGCACACAGACGTCTGATATGACTACACGGAGACAGGGAAAATCACTAGACTACTCCAAGTCCACATGAAAAAATCCCAGCCCTTACCGGGGATTGAACCCGGAACATCTATCACTCGAGGCGGACACTATGCCTTGAGACCACGCAGCCCACTGCTAACTCAAATAAATTGTTTTCAAGTCATCCCCCAAGAGTTTTCATGCTAGTGCAATGCACACAGTAATAACTATTTTTTTCCCCTTTTACGAGGGCGAGTCAAAAAAATATTCTCATTCAGGCCGTAAGTCTTATTTTATAAAAACTTTAGAAAAGACAAATAAATAAAGTTTCAACATTATCGTCGTACTTTTCAGTACAACTGTTCCCATCTGACAACAAACTTGGGTAAACCTTGTATAACGGTTAACCCTCGTTAACAGGAATTTCAAAGAACTGAACATAGTGCTAACCGGGGCCATATAAGAATAACTCCCCGCTGGGACCAACATAAGGAGTCACTAATATCCTTTTCCCATCGTTGTGCTGGTCGGCTCCTGCTCCTCCTTCCTGATACCATGACTTCAGTTATTATTTTTTTTTTCAAAACGTTGTGGCACTTGATATGACAAAAATATTGCAGCTTCCAAGACAAGATACGGTTTATTAGCCAATCTTCCTTGATGTTCAAATCTTTTAAAATGTCAGTATTTTTGTTTTTTCTTTGTCTATGGTATTCTGAGAATCTTTCTATAGTATTTCAGCTCAAAAGCTCCTATTTTCTTTCTTAAGAACAAGGAGATAGCCTACGACTCACATCGGTATGTCGCTATATGGAAGATGCTGGCAGAGTCAAAGTGCATTAAACTCACCCACTCCATGTTACTTCGTAATCGTGTTATTGTGTCTCAGTATTACTCGATACCAGCGTGTAACTGTTGCACCACGCAGTCAGTCTCTCACCCTCAATAACTCAGATTATCAGTATCACAATTAATGCCAAAAACATCTTACATTTTCTGGTATCGATTTTAGAGTTGTAGTCAGTTTAAATTTTTTTTAAATGGGAGCATATGACAAAGAAGCTTGATGGTCACTGCGCTATCGCAACACACATATTATGCATTAAAAACGATTGTGTCACTAAGTATATTCACCACTTCGAGAACTGTGTAGAAAGAATATAACGCAGGGCTTTCATGTTGGAAATCCTAGTCGAATCCTCAGTAACCCCACTTGTTTTTTACCCCTGTATAGTTCGTGGCGACAGCACTAGCCATGTGACTCTTAATCCACAGGCTTAAAGACCCATCCCTCTGTTTACACTGCAAAAGTGGTGAATATAGACAGTAACCGGCAATCTGGTATATATATATATATATATATATATATATATATATATATATATATATATATATATATATATATATATATACGAAATTAAAAACCCCACACCTCACCAAGAATCTAACCTATGTTTCCCACATAAGAGCTATAGGCTGCGTTAACGTGGTCAGTCGCTTCTCACTATACAGTATACCACATCAAAACACGTATAGTAAGTAATATTCTGCTTTGGAAACAAACTTACCATCCCTTGCCCTGTGCTGGCGGAACCTGGTGGGTCCTATTCTGTAAGACACCATGTCTGACAGAAGCTTGTCTCCTCCGTCCACTTGCATCCCACTGCTGTTGAAATCGGGATATAGAAAGGACACCAGGGAGTTCTGCGCCCATGACCACACGTGTGCTGGTTGCATTATCTTGACAGACAGAAACAGTTAAAAATATAGTAAAGTTCCATCGGGCTTGCACTCAGAATTGATGAGACCAACCTCCCCCACCAAGCCCTCATATGAACAACGGAAGCGAAAAGAAAATGGGGAAGATCAAGAGAGACCCTAGAACTGTCATCAGGGAAGGCTCAACCATGGGCCTAACAAACCTCCAAGACCAATAATAGGTGGCAACGAACCGCCAGATTTGGAGAGCTACGACCTCTGCCCTATGCCCTGCCATAGGCTCAAAAGGAAAAATTAACGAACTAACTAAAGGACCCTGTAAATGCTAGACGCGCTTTGTGTATATGAGGCTAGATCCATATGTTTATAGACCCACCGTCCCTTCACAGGTAATGTGGTCAAGGTAACACAGACCGCCTTACTTCCCAGGACTTCACCTGGTACCCACTCAAAGCTGAGTCGACCTGGGAGACAAGGTCACTTTTAGAAGAAAAAAAAAAGGGGTGGGGGGGGGGGGGACCTGGCACCATCCGGATCCAAATCCATGACTTATCGCTACACCACAACGGATCCTTGCAGACATAATTGGTACTATAATAATTCGAGGACAGTCGCTGTAGGAGCGTCGGAGAGTCCAGAAGGCAAATGCTGTCACCTACCAGTTTGTCCCACTGCTTAGATACCCGAATGTCTCCCTTCCAGCAGTCTCCCTTTCAGCAAAACAGCAGATGACGCATCTTTAGCCCTGCTTTATGTTATCAGTGCCAAACATGGACAATGAATAGGGCGCTAGAACAGAAAATAACTACATGTGAAATGCGCTGTCTCAGCAAGGTAACTAACAAAACGAGAATAACAGAATTACGAATACCAGTATTAGAGAGAGAGTCTGAATGAGATCATGTCTGTATTATATTGACAGACAAAGAAGGAAATGGTTCATCCATCTAGTGAGAATGCCGCCAGATCATGTCTGTATTATATTGACAGACAAAGAAGGAAATGGTTCAGCCATCTAGTGAGAATGCCGCCAGATCATGTCTGTATTATATTGACAGACAAAGAAGGAAATGGTTCAGCGATCTAGTGTGAATGCCGCCAGACCAAACTGCATAGGAGATATGAGACTTTTACAGAAGAACATCTAGGAGGAAGGCTAGAGTAAGACCAAGAAACAGATGACTAAAAGAAGAAATATCTTAAACCCACCCCTCACCGGTCACAGTTTGTATTCTAAGGGAGCAAAGCAACCCCCGCAGACCCACAAACACACACACGTGCATGCACGCATGCACGAACACACACATGGACTCACACATGCACTCACATGCGCGCGCGCACACTGGACAACAGGTAATTTTGTAACCGTTTTGTGCTATCTGAGTATAATTGTTATATAGTATAATTGTTATATAGTATAATTGTTATATAGGTTGCCGGGATTTGTGTATTATTGACTTGTATTCTTGAGATGTTAATCCAACAAACTGCAATCCTGCAGGGGAAAGGGGAGGGGTGCGGGGAGGGGGGTATAAAGAACGGAAAAATACTTTACTTGAGCCATGATGTTGATCCGTCGTCTAAACTAAACTTCGGGGGCCGCATCAGCGCAGTCGATAGGGCGACTTACTTTCAAATCCAGCTACGACTCACTGAAGCCCACGGCCAGTGTTCGAAACCGGACGCTCCCTGTGGTTCACTCAGCCTCTAGAGTAAATGGAGGAACGTCGCTGTAGCTACAGAGTTACGTGCGGACGGCGACACAAGCGGACAGTTTCATATCAGCTGTCCGTACTGGTGGCAGAACACTGGTGGTTTATAACCATGTGCAATGACGCTGGTTCACATCTCCCGACTTTACCTTTACCTAAACTTAACTAAACTTCTTATTAGAATAAACACTGTCCATTAAACGTTAGCTTGTTCATACCTTATTGAAACTCCCGCTGCCATCTAGGCAGTTAGAAATGCTTAGCTTGAGACTAAACGAGCGCTTGTCTCTGTTGTTGTAGGACATAATCACAATCAGGATGAAAAACGTCACATAGAACAGTGTCTGAAATGTGAGCACACGTGTGATGTCAGCAATATTTAAAAAAAACTAGTAAGAATTACCTTTAGTTAGAAAAGATAACTAATTCTCAAAATACTATCATAACAGACTGCGCCACAAAAAGCGATGCCAACCCTATTTCGCGAGTACACACCATCACCAGAATTAAGGATAACTATCTGTGTGGAAAGGGGGAAGAGGTGTAAGCAAAAGGGTGGGACTGGGCGGGGTGGTGGGTTTCCCCACATGTGGCTATGCCTCACAGATGATCTCCCACCCTTCTCATGTCCATCAAGTTCTTAATTTTCATGTCCATCAAGTTCTTAATTGTTGTGAACCTTTTTAGGCTTGGGAGCCTATTATCAACGTGGTCGCTGGCCATACAGCAAAAAAATCCATTATAAACACAACACCCAGATTCCCATGTGGAATTGTGTGGAATAATCTTAGATTGTTTTCCCCTACTACCATTAAGGTTAGTTGCGTATCCTTTACAGGACGTTGCAGAACCAACCCCAACAGCTCCTGTCTGTTGTGTGGTTTTTCTAGGCAAATTTACGTCCAGTAGTTTGCCATTGCTCACTGGACGGTCGGCTTTCCTGATACCACTGTCGAAAACAACGTAAGGCGCATGGCCCGCAGCTGGGATCAAACCCGGCATCCCGGCATTAACGAAGCGTTCGCATCGACTTAGCCACAGAGCCGACTTTTCCTACTACCATACATCGGCATATGTCGCCAGTTTAATATATTTTATAGACAAATCGGAACTCTGTATATGATGTGGTGAAGATCACGCCAGTCGTTTAAACTTTCAATTTCGTTACCCTGTACTAATTGTAAGCTGTAACAGTGCGGAGGCGCAAATAGATCATTACCGTCTGAGGAGAATGGCGCTGCGTGGAGTTACCAGGGGATCTGGCCGACACTGAAAGGCGAGACGGATATACAAACAAATAGTTACTAGTGTTTTCGGAATTGCTGCTGAAGATGGAGACGTAGCGCTCATGGGAGTGTCCTGGGTGCTATGATGTCTATACTTATTTCAAAATTTTCAACATTCAATTTTAGGCTGTTTAGACCCCTGAACCAAGGTCAATTTTAGAAAACACCCCGATGTGAATTTGAACCTATTGCCTTTGGTCCGACAGGCAAGTGTCTATCACTACGCTGTTGCAGTTCCACTCTAACCCTGGGCAGACTGCGTGTTTCGCTAATTACCTGAGTGGTGAATTAGGATTCGACTTTTAAGTCTAATACTGGATATTAATGTGAATGTAATGTGAGCCCTAAGAAATGTTTTCATATATCGGACTTTAAAAGGCGAAAAAACTTTCCTTTTCCCCCATCGATACACATGGTCAGATCAAACTCTATACAGAACTGTAACAGATAAATAGCTTTGAATAATGCTACATAGGATCTGTTAAGAATAAAATTTACAACAAACAAAATGATATACAAGTGCTGTTGGTCGTATCTACTGTTTCTTCTTAATTTTCTATTTCTTTTTCTGCTCCCCCTCTTCTTCTCATCCACCTCTTCTTCTCCTCTCCCTCTTCTTCCCCTTCACCTCTGCTGCTGCTGCTGCACCGTCATCGTCGTCGTCGTCATCATCTTCTTTTTTCTTCTTCTTCTTCTTTCTCCTCCTCTTCCTCTTCTTCTTCTTCATCTTCTTCTTTATTGCGTTCACCGGCTTTAAACTCCGACGGAAAGTTATGGTTGTTCGTCCACTTTGGGCCGTTGGTCTTCTTCCCCGCCTTGTATTTCGCACGCCCAAACATTTTACATATCTGACTTTTTTGTACACAGCAACTATTGGTTCCTCGCCTATTATAATGCTGGAATAAAAAAAAATTTAAAAAAACTACAAGTTTCTTAGGGGCAGCCTATCCGTTTTCCTCCAAAGTTGATTTTGGAACACGCAGTGAAAGTATTTAACAATTTAGAAGCGACAAAAAACGGCACAAATATTGACAGGTGACAGTTTACCTCGAAAAATAAAGATCGAGATCTGACGATGTTCTCATCACGCAGTGCTTCCTCTGGACTTAACTGAGACTTGTTTCTTGGCCTACCTGTTGAGTAAAATGAACTAATCAAGTAACAGAAAGTGTATTGATCGGCACTCATAGAAAGAAGTAGAAAGATAGAAGAACACACTAGACAACATAAAAATCGAAAGATATAGTTACCGTGCCGGGAATTGAACCTCCATGGATACAAGTGCACTAAAAACATGGTCAGCTAGGCACCCCCCTTTTAAAACTTGATTAATTCATTATATTTAACGGCCTCAACGGTTCCCCCTCTGTTTTTTATAGGAATCACGCTGTTGAGTAGAATGACGACCTTGTAAACTGAGTACATTTTGGAAATTGTTAGTTTTGTTTGGGTGTATACGTTTGGTGTATGGTTGAGTGATTGGTGGGTTTGTTGACTGGTTGTTTTGATAGTTTTAAATGAATTGCTATAAAAAGGTGTTGGGGGGGGGGGTGGGGTGGGGGTTACAGATTTTTTAGTTGGGTGATTGGATAATAGTTCCCTGTTTTTAGGTTGTTTGATGGGTTGACTGCGGTTGGATGGATATTTAACTATCTGGCTGGTTGGCTAGATGGATGGTGAATAGTTTGGTTGATGGAAACATGGATGAAAAGCTGTGTTTTTTATTGTGTTTTTTTTTTTTTCTATAGCTGGATTGGCTCTTAGTGAGATAATTTTTTGTTCGGATGGTTGGTTGGATGATTGCCTGAATGAGAGATTAATTATTTTGCTGGTTAGTTGAGTGATTCAGTTCGTTGGACAGTATTATACTGCGTTCTACGGAAAGAGTGCATGGAAAAAAGGGGCGGGAGTGTGTGCAACCCACAGCTAAACTTGACTAGCAAGATGGTACAATTTATACGTGAATATGAAAGTGCACTAGGCTGGAGAGCTGGCGAGAGACAGAGTTTCTTTCAGGCAGACCGTGATGAGAGCGACGTTCTGCAAAAGGATCTGCAACCTGATGATGAGATTAGGTGACGTTAGGAAAAATCGTCCATATCAGTGAATGTGACTGCAGGATCATCATTTTCAACCTGTATTTGTCAAGCGTCTTCTCAACCGTGTAGGTTTCAAACATCTGCAATCAGTTTCCTTCTTGTCCCTATTTCTTTTATGATTTTTCCTCTGCATACAAAATAATCCACGACGTCTGATCTCACGAATCGATTCGTCCACATTGCACACATGTTTACATTGTAAAAGATGTCGACCCTGATGGTCGCTACTCATCTGCAATTCGCTGTAGATGATGTCCTTTGTAGAGTCCTGAAGAAGCACGCGACAAAATGAATTATACGGTAGGAAAACGTCATGGTCAGAACCCGCCGAAGACAAATCGCCATATAATTAGGTGGAAGAAATGCCCGGAATGTTCCCCAACAAACAGTTCTGAGATTTTGTGGCGATTGATTTAGGAAAGTCAGTATACATATACAGTTTAATCAGTGTCGGACAGATTAGGGTGTTAGCTTGCCCGATGACAAAAAGGCCGATGAGGTTAGCCGTCTGAACTCTTTCAGTTCCAGATAGGTATTACATCATTACGTCTTGAAGGTTTGTTAGTAGCAGACATACTGAATGCGCTGCGTTTCAGAGACATAACGGACTCAGAGAAGATGAATCGCCTGTTGGAGATAAAGCATTAAACGAGTACACGCTAGACAATTCCTACTGAATTATGTATTCATGGATACCCTGTTGCATCGAAGGGCGGAGTACGAAGAGGTCGGTTCGATGTGCTAGGATCTATCGAGGGACAAGAACTGGTTTAAATAATAATATTGCAACACATAATGGGGTATAGCAAAAACTAGTATGTACTAATGTTTCTGTCAGATAAGGAATAAATAATGTTCAAGAAGTAGAAACGCTTATCATGTAAGCAGTAACCAGTAAACTCATATAAGTTTAGTTGATTCAAGAACTGACATCACAGCACTCGGGGCATTCCCATAAGCGCCCCGTCCCCATCTTCAGCAGCCAGTGAAGAGTTCCGATACTAATGGTGCCAGTGGCATTCTGATTAAACGTCCGTCTTGCCTTTCCTCTGAGCCTCGAGCATCGTTAAACTCATTTAATAGTACTAAAGGGTTAAGCATGAGACAATATCTTTAAAATGTTAACGACCATTTAGTAGTTTGAAAATATGATAGATGTTGTATTATTATTACTGTATGCAGTATAATTGTGCATAGTTCATAGTGTGAAACCATGCTTAGGGTAACATTGTAAGAAATCTAAAATTATTGTCATCACCAAGCAGACGAAAATACCAAGGTTTTAAATACGAGCAAACGGCAAAATTTTTGAGCAAGTCAATAGATAAAAATACTTGGAACGTTCATAACAACTGATACAAGATGTGTTGTAGAAATTAGAACTAGAATCACCATGGCAAAGTGATACAAATATTTGTAAAGTTCATAACATCTGATACAAGATGCGTTGCAGAAATTAGAACTAGAATCACCATGGCAAAGTGATACAAATATTTGTAAAGTTCATAACATCTGATACAAGATGCGTTGCAGAAATTAGAACTAGAATCACCATGGCAAAGTGATACAAATATTTGTAAAGTTCATAACATCTGATACAAGATGCATTGCAGAAATTAGAACTAGAATCACCATGGCAAAGTGATACAAATATTTGTAAAGTTCATAACATCTGATACAAGATGCGTTGCAGAAATTAGAACTAGAATCACCATGGCAAAGTGATACAAATATTTGTAAAGTTCATAACATCTGATACAAGATGCGTTGCAAAAATTAGAACTAGAATCACCATGGCAAAGTGATACAAATATTTGTAAAGTTCATAACATCTGATACAAGATGCGTTGCAAAAATTAGAACTAGAATCACCATGGCAAAGTGATACAAATAAGAAAATGTCAGCTGCGGTAGGAAAAGAGAGTTAAAGTGCTAAATAGAAACTGTTTCGATAAGGAC